CTTGGACTCTCTTGTTCCAATATTATTGTTGATAGTTGGAACAGCAGATTAAGAGCTATTTATATGGAAGGCCTCTCCAAATCTGGACTATTCAGTCCTTGATAAATTATAGAAGTTAAAATAACTTAAGAAATGTTGCTGAAGTTCCAAATACTGGACAAGAAACACCAATTGTGAGCTAACTTTATGGGAAAGTGACCTTTATGTAAAAAGCAGATGACTAACAAGCTAAATAAAACTGTTTGTTCTTAAATTCTAGTATAAAGAGCCAAATGTAGACATGCTTTCTTACACTTGTCTCAAAGCTTGTACCCCCAGTCAACTATTTTCTTTTGAATGACAGTCAGATGGAGATGTAGAAAACTAAAGGAGCTACTTGCATGGGAGCAAGTAGAAGCACAGGCTAAACAGTTAGGACCCCTGCACTTTTTGCATCTTTTTCACTGTTAAGGTTTTCCTTGAAATATGTTGTTCCTTGTGACAATTATGACTTCTGCTGTAATATTGCTGTTTAAGAAGCTCTGCTTGTTGATGAGGGACCATGCTTACTCGAGAAGGTATAGAAGTGGTTCCAAAAAGAAAACTTGTTCCTAAAACCTGTGTGTATCCCTCGCAGGAATTTTATTTATCCTTTTAGGTTACCTGGCTGATTTTGTGTAGATCTTGGAGACTTCCCCAGTGGATGTTCCGGAGCTTAGGGCAATTAGGTTGGATTTTTCAGACCCTAGGTGTTGGCAAGATAGCTAGGTGTGAGCATTGATGTGTGATTACTGAAAAAGTCTAAGGCTTACTACTAGGTAGTTTATGGGCATCTCCTATTTTTGATATGGGGGCACTCCAGGATCAACAAAAGAAGCAGTAGGATATTTTACCTAAATTAACATAAGGACAACACGGAAGCTAAAAGGAACACAACCTCCATGGGGACTTGGATGGATATGTGAATTGGGGTCAGGAAGGTGGCAGAAAAACCTATGTACTTCTGGGGAGTCGCTGGTGCAGCCTGTAGCAGGGGATGATTAGGCTGTTGGTGCTGAGTATCTTTCTTCTCTGGCCAGTCAGATTGGCAGCGAGGGACTGACAGCTTCAAGCGGAGTGTCTGACTTTCTTCAATAGGGTTTCTGTTTTCTTTTAGAATATAGGAGAAACAGGTTGAAAAGACACTATAGAGGAAAGCCTCTGTCTTATTACAAGTCACTGATCAGATGATATTTAGCACCTTGAACTATCAATGTAAACAAAGGTTTGACCACAGTATGCACTCTGCTTGAAATAATCTTGATGAGCCATCAGAAAGGGTAGAACAATATGCCTTACAATCCATTTGAAAGTACCAGGAAGGAAGACAAATTTTTCCTGCAAGGTGTAGGTATAACTGCTTTGCTTAGTTAGTAGAAAAACCTGAGTGCTACTCTACTTGTAGGTTGTTAGGTTATTGTTCGTCTGTAGTTCAGATGATCTTTGATCTTTAAAGCTTACTTGGATGTCATTAAATACCTGAAAATAAAGTATTCCTTTTCCTTACTAGTGGCTTTAGGTATTTGTTGAGAAGAGAAGGAAATAACAAGGGTTACTACTTACTATGGTGCTCTCTGTTTTTCAGTAAATGTATAATTCTAAAAATGTTTGAGTTGCGCAGGATATAAAAACTTACCCAGTTTTGCTGATCTCTACACCAGTGACCGCTATGTTTAACATCGTGTTGAGACGAAGAGTCTTGATTTAGTAGATGCATGCTAGGTAGACTTGTGTTCCAAAGCTTAAACAATTAGACAGGTTCAGATTTTTTTCTGGATAGTCACTTAAGCATTCTGTTGTACACTTAGGTCCTGGGTTCAGCTAGGATAGAGTTAATTTTCACAAGAACCTGGGAGGGGACACAGCTAGGATAGCTGACTTAAACTAGCCAAGGGGTTATTTGATACCATATGACATCATGCTCAGTGTAGAGAGAGATAACTGATGTCAAGTACATGGACTTGTGCAAAACACTTGACACTGTCCTGCACAATATCCTTGTCTCTAAATTGGAGAGATGTGGATTTGACAGGTGGACCACTTGGTGGAATTGGCTGGATGGTCACACTCAAAGAGTTGCAGTCAACATCTCAATGTCCAAGTGGAGACCAATGATGAGTGGCATTCCTCAGGGAACAAAGATGCTGTTCAACATCTTTGTCGATGACATGGACAGTGGGATTGAGGGCGCCCTCAGCAAATTTGCCAACAACACCAAGCTGTGTGGTGTGGTCAACATGCTGGAGGGAAGAGACGTCATCCAGAGGGACGTGGACAGGATTAAGAAGTGGGCCTGTGTGAACCTCATGAAGTTCAACAAGGCCAAGTGCAAGGTCCTGCATATGGGTCAGGGCAATCCCAAGAACAAATAAAGGCTGGGTGATCAGTGGACTGAGAGCAGCCCTGCAGAGAAGGATTTGGGGGTAGTGGTGGATGGAAAACTGCCTGTGAACCAACAATGTGTGCTCACAGCCCAGAAAGTCAGCCGTATCCTGGGCTGCATCAAGAGAAATGTGGCCAGCAGGTCGAGGGAGGGGATTCTCCCTGTCTGCTTTGGTGATACCCCACCTGCAGTGCTGTGTCCAGCTCTGGGGCTGCCAGCATGAGGAGGACATGGCCATGTTGCAGTAGCTCCAGAGGATGTCACAAAGATGATCAGGAGGCTGGAGCACCTCTCTTACGAGGACAAGCTGAGAGAGTTGGGGGGGTTCAGCCTGGAGAAGAGAAGGCTCTTGGGGGTGTAGAGCTGTTATTCGGGTGTTTTGTGTGTGTATGTGTGTGAGTTTTCATAGATTTGTTGATTATGGATTTAGAACTAAGGTCAAGCAGTAACTGGATTTCAGAAACACTGCTGAGAGCTTAATTTAGAAATGCTTCTTGACTATTTCAATATTATTTTATTCATCTCACATTTTTGGGGTCTGAACCTTTATCCCTTCTCTCTTTCAGGAGTAAGAGCATCAGCTAGGAAATCGGATTTACATGCTGACTGTGTTAAATGTCTTCTCTGTTTGGGGAAGGGACCAAAGCACAAACACCCAAATTTCCATGTTGTTTTGGTTTTTGATTGTCCTTGCTACCAAGAGATCAGTTACTGGACACACTTTTCCTAGACAGGTGGTTTTCTCCTAAGACAAGTTCCGTGATGCACGGTTCGGGAGACTGCCAGCTCTAGTTTCCATCATAATGACTTAACTGCCCATATAGCATGGCAAACTGGCAGCCTGTATTGGCATGCAGATATTTGAGGTGGTGGTAGGGTTGAACTTCTCTTAGAGGAACAATTTAAACAGCAGAATATTATAATTTGCTGGTAGATAGGGGAGGTTTTGTATATAATAATACTTTTGCCATAGGAGCTGAGCAGAGTAATAAAAATAGGTACATCACAACTATGCTAAGTGGTTTTGTTACCGAAAAGCGGTAATTAATTCACTCTCTAAGACTCAATTTTGGAGTTTTAGAAAGCAGCGCTGGACACACAGGGGATAGCTCCTCCTAATGTGTGTGTGTGAAGACAAAATCAACAAGCATTTATACTGCCTTAAACATATTCATTACTTTTTTATCATATTTTTATTGTAGTCATAACTTTTCCAGGAACTCATTAGCATATGTTACTGTCTCTTGCGCATGTCTGTTGGAGTCTTCAGGTGGTTGTCAGGGTCTTGGATGAAGGCTCATAGTCTTCTTCATTGTGTTTGCCAGTTGACTCTTACTTCTGCGCAAACTCAGTCCTGTGGTCTCGTATATCTTGTCCTTCAAGTCTGGCCTGGTCTGGTGGTTTTGCTAATTTGCAGCTTTCTTATTTTAATGTTTCTTTGCACCTGCTACTACAAGGCTGAACTGTCTCCAGTACAATTATTTGTGAGTTCTTTATCCTACAGTTATTCTAACTATTCCTTAAAAGACCAGTATTTGTTCTGCAGCACAATGGTTAAATCAGCTTAAATTGATCTTAATAATTCTATTCCCCAAATATCTAGTTTCTAATAATCTTAGTTGGCAGGTATCAGTTTCACAGAACTTTAAGGGTGGGGGCAGGGGAATGGCCTTTGTTTCGACTGGAGCAATGTCAGTTCTGTAGAGGTGAAATGCATTCTTTTCTCTTATAACAACATTTTCTACAAAAACATATGCACTTACCTATTTTTTTTATCTAATGAGATTTTACTGAATTGACAAATGCAGCCTTAAATAAATCATGTGTGATAATGAATCTTGCTATTTGTTCCTTCTTAAAAAAAAATCTATGTAGATAAATTTTTAAGTAAAGGACAAACACTGATCTATTTGTAGTCTCTTCTGCATATGGGTTACCATAACTAGAAACCTAATCCAGAGGTATATTTCTCTGAAGTTTCAGACATTATTTAGTGGGTGCTACAGTAGCTATGTAGACACATTTTTTACTTTTCCGGTTGAAATACTCCTTTAGATCCAAGAAGATTTAATGGAGTTATCCATCAAGTAGGTTTTCTAGATCATTTTATTTTTAATGCCTTAAAAAATCATCCTGTACTGCCCTTCTGTTTTCTGTCCTATCACCTGGACTGAGAAGATTGCCTAATCTATACGGAGAAACCATATTAATGCCTGTAGCAACTCTAGGGTCAGAAAGGAGATATTTTGTATGGAATGCCCCATAGCAATAAAATTCAATATTGCAACAAACATGGATTAGTGTTAATTCTGACAACTGTGCTGTCGTGATCATGAAAGTCTCTGTATCTTGTCCTTTTTTTTTTTTTTGGTACTAGTTCCTAAACTGATCAAAGATTTATCGAGTTACTCAGTAGGAACTGGCTTGAATTATTTCCTAGTAACCAGCTGTCTCTAGTTTGCTATTTGACTGTATGTGTGAGTAGACTTGGATGGAACTTAGAATAAGCATTTTTAAGTTACTTGTTCAGTGTTGCATTACTAGTTCTGAAGGTCCTCAGTATCTGTTTTTGTGGTTTTTTTTTTTTTTTTTTTTTCAGATGATACAGCTCTAGAGAAAGAAAGACTTGCCTTCACAACTTGCTTTACAGTATCTGAACAGTGAAAGCACAATGGACACTTAAAGTTTTACAGAAATCATCTAGGAACAAGAACGTTGGACTTCGAGGAATAAAAGACTTTAGAGAGCCCAAAAATTGGTTACTGATAAACCTGACTTCGCCATACAGCTTGGGAATGAATACTATTGAGACAGCAAAGCTTGAGGAGCATATGGAGGGTCAGAACAATGATACTTCTAACAGCTACTCACGACCTACTCTCTCAGTCAGTGAAGAGAATAAAAATGGCACTAGCAAACCAAAGGGCTTGTCTAATGGCTTGCGTAAAACAACAAAGAAATATCCTGACTACATCCAGATTGCTATGCCTGCTGAGTCTAGGAACAAATTTCCTCTGGAATGGTGGAAAACAGGCATTGCCTTTGTCTATGCTCTCTTCAACTTGATTCTAACAACTGTCATGATCACTGTGGTCCATGAGAGAGTACCTCCAAAGGAGCTAAGCCCTCCCTTGCCTGACAAATTTTTTGATTATATTGATCGTGTGAAATGGGCTTTTTCTGTATCAGAAATAAATGGAATGATACTAGTTGGATTATGGATATTCCAGTGGTTGTTTCTTAGATACAAGTAAGTGGCTATATTTTTTTTTTGTCTGCTGTATGTTTTCAGAGTGTTGGTTTCCCTCATTCATTTGAGTAGAAGAAATCTGATGGTTGAATCTGTAGCAGTATTGTAGAACAGGGCTGGCAGGAAAGTGACAAAGGGATGACTTCTTTAGAAAATGTTCCAGTGTCCGTGTTGGATACAGAAACACGGGTTTCTCCTCATTATTGAATATTGGTTTTTAAATCTGAATTTTTGACACCTATGTTGTACTAGTCAAATTTATTCTGGGATCAGGCTCTTCAAAGTATGTTTACTGGTGTGGCAATGTTTAATTGGGGAGACCATGATGACTTAAAATCTCATCCAAATTTGAGGAGAAATTCACTGTCCTTTCCACCTAGACTAGAAGCTCTTTGCTTTGTCTTCATCTGCTTAAACTAGACATATTTAAGTCAATATGTAGTTATATTATGGGACTAAAAAGAGAAGGTCACTGAGTCAAGAAGAGCTCTGTCTGACTGCACACCTAAGTTAGGCCATGTTAAACTGGTTACTGAGCATTGTGGTAGTTACATACTATTATGAGCTAGCAAGACTAAAACCTGAAGACTTTTTAGTATTTGATTTAGAGAAGTGTGTAGTGAAGAGCAGTAGGTGGAGCTGCTCTGTAATTACAGGGATTTAGAGATCTAATAAAGCTAGAGCTCCCTAACTGTTAGGTATATCCTGCATGTCAACTTTGCACTCAATCTTTTTTCCCCCTTCCCTTCCTTTCAGATCAATAGTGGGACGCAGGTTCTTTTTTATCATAGGAACTTTGTATCTGTACCGCTGCATTACTATGTACGTTACCACCTTACCCGTGCCTGGAATGCATTTTCAGTGTGCGCCGAAGGTAGGAATCTTTGCTCTCTAATTCTAGCCTTAGTCTCTGCCTGAGTCCTTATGGCTCATTAGAACAAATACAAGAAAATGTTCCAGGTGTTACTAAATAACACAAATTACTTTCAGTTGATGTCTTCAGAAGCATAGTGATAAATCAGAAGTTGTGCAATACAGAAAGACTCAAGTTGTTGCTGCAGTTATGACGCTTTAAAGGAGAGGACCTATGTTGAAATAGTGCCGCTACCAAATTGATGAACTTGCTTCTGAGGCTCAAGCTAATCACTCTAATACTGCAGCAATTACTTTTTTTCTTACGCAGTGAGATACCTAAGGTCAATATTGTAATTCATAAGTTGATATGCAAGCTTATGTTGCAGTATGCTTTTAAAAAAATACAATATTTTCATATGCTTTGTCCTGTTTCTCATGTTATTTTTGTCAAGATCTATCGCAGTGCCTGAAGTCAGCTGTCTGTCTCTGCTTCCAACCTGCAAAATGTATATAAATGTGACTAAAACAAATTCATCTATTTGAATGAGCTCATACATATAGAAACATGTGCATGCTAATATTTCTACAAGAATATTTCACAAATTTGTGTTGCTCCAGTTAAATGGTGACACAAAAGAATTCTGTTAATGCCATTTCATGTTGCTAATAAGCTGTAGACATAGAATTGTTTTGGAACAAACTGTATTGTGTTGGCCACACTTGAAAGAGTAAGAGGCAGTTTGGTTGTGCACTGAGAAGATAAGTGTTTTGAAACCTAAGAATATTGCCAGTTTGCTTAGCTGGTAAGTTTGTCACTCATTAGATATGAGTTAATCAGTTGTGAGGTACAGCATCATGTCTGCTCAGTTTTATTTTTTCACATTGGGAGAACTTTGGAATATAGTGGATGAACTACTGTTGTTATGAATCCATCTCTATTTGAAAAAGCTTTATTTACATACCACTATTGTAAAGACTCCACTGTTTGTTCTGCTAGTTTGGGGACTGACTTTGTGTAGTAGACTGTATCAAAGTGGGAAGAGGTGAGCAAAGGAAAACTTAAATGTCTCAAAGTGCCTTTTGCTAAAAATGGGATGAATTACTTGAACTCTGAAAAACTTGACAGCTCCTCTGGATTTCCTTTTTTGTCCCATAAAAATATTTTTCTGATTACAGAAAACTCAATATTCCTTTATCTTGTTGGTTTTTCTCCCAGAGTTAATCTTTAAACAGCTAGGTGAAACAGGATGTTTACCTAGTATCTATGAGAAATCAAAAGTTGATCCTAATGCATACTTTAAAAAAAAAAAAAAAAATCCTCCAAATCTGAGTAGTGACTGAGTTTGTAACCAAATCTAAAATTCAGCAAGTTGAGGTTTTTGTCCTGTAGAAACTTTGGTCTGCTTTCAGTAGAACGTCAGGAGCAGTACGCAAGGTGCTATACTGGAACCAGTTTTGAATGGGTTTATCCATTCTGCCAATGGCTGTTGTGAGATACCTGACCTGACACATTTTTAATGTGTACCTTTTCAGTATATTATGTTTCTCATTCTCATACAATGCACATTTTAAAATAGCCTGGGAAAGCATAGACGTAATGCTAGTGTTACCAAGCTGATCTTTAGCACCTGTCAAGTTTGATATGCATGGTTATTTGTTCGAGAATATGTGAAGGAAAGCTGAAGACAATGAAGATAATTTGTGTCCTTTTCCCCCTGTCTCCTGGACTCCATGTATGTTTGGGCAAGAAGTTTACTCAAGTCACTTACTGTGTGTCTTTAAACTTTTTTTTTTTTACTTTTTTTTTTTTCCCCCCCTGGTGTCCTAGTTGAATGGAGATTCTCAGGCGAAGGTTCAGAGGATTCTGCGGCTGATTTCTGGTGGTGGTCTCTCCATAACTGGATCACACATCCTGTGCGGAGACTTCCTGTTCAGTGGTCACACTGTGGTATTAACGCTGATCTACCTGTTCATCAAAGAGTGTAAGTGATGGTATTTCAATGCACTCTTCTTGTTCAAATCCATCGTATTGGGCAAACATATGATAAAAGTGCATGTAAAACTCTTGCCTCCAAGAGTTACTAGTCAGCTGTACGCAGACTTGTATGTGTATGGGTTTGAAGTATGAATCATCACTTCGAGCGAAAATGGGATGTGGGGTAATAAAAGTGGTGTGGACTTTAATTAAGGGCTTAATGTGACTAGCCATGTCACTTCAGTCTTTATATAAGCATTTAGGGGTTGAAGCAAGCTAGCTTTTCATTATTCACTGACAGGTGGTTAAAACTTTGGGTAAAACATGCTGTAGTTAATTATGCAAACTAGGTCTGTGCAAGTTCGCTGATACACCTTAGATTTTAAGGAATTTTTGTGGCTTGAGCACAGCACTATTGCACACATACATCCAGAAGCAAAGCTATTTTTTTTAAGTGTGCTGTAAGTTTAGTAACTGCAAACAATGAAAAGTTGATGCATGCTCCTTGGATCGCTTCTGCTGGAGTCTCCTACTTAGGCCTCTTAGAGCTGATAAGAATGTGACAAACACAGGGAAGATACGGTTGGGGTTATGCTTTTCCCCCTTTGCTTTACGTTGGTATGGGGGGGTGAAAAATCTCTGTGCTGCACACACAGGATTGATGGAAGCTTTAGAGAATTGAGCACCAACTTCTGATATATAGTAAGCAGCACTTCTACCCTGGGAACTTGGATGCTCGTGAAGGTGTAGTGGGGAGTTCCTTCTCCAGTTCACATGTTTGGCATTGGAATCTTCTCACCCACTGTTGTGTCTCAAACTCTGCAAATGCTAGCTTGGCTCATGGGAATGTGTAATTCACACTGAAACAAAAATAACACTAGCCAGAGTCAGTTGAATGCCTTCCTTTTTATTAAAATGGTGAAGGAAGGAAGCATTGCAGTGCTAAGTTCTGCCTTAAACAAAAACCACAATATAAACTGCCTGTTTAATATGACAAAATTCAAATCTGCAGATGCGAGACATTCTTCAAACGGTGATTTAAGATGCTGATTATAGTCTGCTCATTCTTAGGCCTATGTCTTCCTTGTAAAGTGAGCATTACTGGGGGAAATGGCATGTATAACTTGTCAAAATTATCAGAACAGTATTAGGAAAATAGCCTAATAATAGATTTGTAGTTTGCCTTGTTTTGTATATGTTATTCCATCTTAATGTTGGTAACATACTCTTTAATATCTTTAGTACCAGGAAAGATGCAGATAACCCAATATTTTGAGGGCCAGTATAATTCATGTACTTTTATCATAAGGAGTTGGAGGAATTGTATCGTAGAAATTCTTGTAATAAGCCCTTTGACTGTTGAATAATTATTAGGTGTGTATTTCAGTGGAGTTGTGCTTTATAAATGAGAAATGTATAGCTTTCCTTTTTCTGCCTCCCATTTAATTAGAAATGTTATCTGAACAAGGGCTAAGCCCTATAATTGCTCTGAATTAGAGATTGCTTATGGTGTTCTTTTCTGATCTTTTAATGACACGTCTTCAGTACAAGATGCATTCTAAGGTTTATTATTTCTGCCTTTGGATTTTTTGCTCTGCTTTTCTCTTCCTTTCATCGTTTGCTGCTTCTTCACTTATTCTCCCACACTCCACCTTTTTTTCCCAGAGTAGTTATTTACATTTTTAGCCTTGGTATGCCTGTCTTGCTTGGGGCCGTTTTCATCAACTTCTTGAGATGATTTGGCTCCTGATTTTTTTTTTTTTCTTTAAATCAGTAGATACAGATTTGTCTGCAATGTTTTGGGGAGAGTTAATTTACTGGTTTGGCACTTAGACTAAAATTTAAGTCCTCCTACAGTAAATGTTTTTCACAGGCCTCAAACCACTGCTGGATAGGCTGGTTGAGATCAGTAACTTTTCTGCCGGTGTCGCATAAAAGAAAAGGCTGACTCTTGCTCCACAAGGCAAGGGGTGCCAAAACCTCCCCCTGTGAGTGGAATGACGCCCATTAGTCTGTGAGGAGTTATGAATGGTCATTGTGACACCCCAGGCATTTTTCAGTGGGGAAAGCAGGGCAGGGGAACTTTTCCACTGAAGTGGCTTAAATGCGTTTTGAAGAATAGCTTCACTCCCATCTGTTAATCTTTAGTTAAAGGGTATAAATTCACATACTGTACTTTCTCATCCTGCATATTGTTTCACAGAACAGAGGTTTCATGCAAAGTAGTTAAAACCTAGGAATTAAGAGTGTATTTTCCTGTTTAATCTGTGATCTCTGTTCAGGTTATATCAACCCTAGACAGTTTACTTGAGTGTACATTTACTTGAGCATAGACTGTAAAAAGAGCAGAGATTCAGTACACACAAGTAAAATAATCAGTGTTCGTCTTGCGTCAATTCTGTCTCTTCCCCTGCTTCCTATACCCTAGAAGTTGTTTAACTGGAAAATTTACTTAATTTGACTAGAAAATGCGTGACTGGTGCTGTCTAACGTCAAGCTCATCTTGGGTTCATTTTATAAAATAAAAACACCTCAGTAATTTTGCTTAAGTCTGTTTTTGTTTTCCCTGTCAAAACAGGGTTCTCATACCAGTGTGGTATAAATGAGCTTTGATTTAAAATTCAGTAGTCTTAATTAAATCATCTATTTTATCTTTACTCCTTCCCTTTGCGGATTGCTATAATAATGTATATGGCTTTTTTGTGTGTTTTTTTTTTTTTTTTTTCTTCCCATTACCTCCCTATTTCACAGATTCACCACGTCATTTCTGGTGGTATCACTTAATCTGCTGGTTAATGAGTGCTGCTGGCATAATTTGTATTCTTGTTGCTCATGAACACTATACCGTAGACGTCATCATTGCTTACTATATCACCACACGGCTCTTCTGGTGGTACCACTCAATGGCTAATGAGAAGGTGAGTGGCAGTTACCTTTAGAATCAATGTCTACCTGCATTTGTTAATATTGCTCAAAGGTCAAAATTAGTTCTTAATTTTGAAATAAATAGAGGCTCCATATTTAAGTTTAAACAAATTGGGCAAGGGGGTTTCATTTTACTGTGGTTTAAGTAACTATTTAATAGATTAAGAGGTTCTTTTGTGATCTGTACTTGTGAAGTTTTTTCAAAATCTGTTTTTTATAAAGTTATTTCTGAAATTCTGTTATTTTGGCTTAAAAACTTTAACTTCAGGGTTTTATTGCTGTAGTTGATGTATAGAATAGTCCTTGTTTGCCTTAGCTTATGAATAAACAGTAGTTCAGTAATAGAATTTGACCAACCTGAATTACCTTGACCATCCTAAAATTCTAGTGACAGTTCTTACATGAATATCACTAGAAGTATCATAGTTCAGGTGTCCGCTGCAGGTGTTTCAAGAATACCTTGAAGTAGGAGCATAGCTCTCAAGCCATTTTTAATCTACTTTTCAACTATTGCACATCAATGGAAACATGACATGCCTGAAAAGACTCGCATTCAAAAAGGCTTGAGTGTTTAATCTCCCTGAATTTTGTACATCAACAAAGCGTCCCTCTGTTCAAGATGCTCAGTTTGTAGTATACGTTTGGACTATGATGTATACACTATCTCAATACTGGCTTTCTAGGCTAAATGCACCTCGTCTTTGCAGAAATGCATGCAAATATATTGTATTTTTATAGTTGTGTTGACTCAACATAATTGATTATATTGCTTTAAATTAATTGTTTGTTTTCTTTTCCTCTTTACCTGCTTGTGCCAAAACAGACTTTAAAGGTCTCTTCACAGACAAATTTTCTCTCTCGTGCGTGGTGGTATCCAATATTTTATTTCTTTGAGAAGAATGTGCAAGGTTCTGTTCCTTGCAGTTTTTCCTGGCCAATATCTTGGCCTCCCAGCTGCTTCAAATCTTCGTGCAAAAAGTATTCACGGGTTCAGAAGACAGGAGAGGACAATGAAAAATCTACTTGAAGAAAACAAGGAAAGCATCTGCTCTTTTTTTTTTTTACCAAAACATTAATGCTGTAACCAAAGTTCTTGAGGACTACACTGAAACTGAAGAAGTGGACCAAGCTTCTGTGCAATTGATTGGAAAGACAATTGTAGACAAACATTGCCATTTCATATGTTTTCCTATCATCAGGCTGTACAGACCTATTCTACTCTTCAGTGCTAAGAATGCACCACTGATGGCATTTTTTTTCTTAAAGAAAAAATGGAGCAGGACTTTGCTTTACTAATGAGATAGAGGTGCCAAAGACCGCATTAACACTTTTGTTACTATCACTCATCCACAGAAGCACCCGAAAATCTCATCTTCAGAGTTCTGGAGTGTGTAAGGGCAAAACCATGTTAAAATGTAAAGGCACTATATCAACGTATTGAGGTATATATAAAAAAAAAAAATCACAATTATGGGAAGTGGTTTGTTGCATTATTCTTGATAATGAAGGTAAGGCCTTTGTGGGACTGGTACAGCTGGAAGGGACTCTTTAATTTTTTTACACTCTGTGGGTATGAATATCTTATGACCCTAAAATACTACTTACCACCATTACCTCCCATATATTCTACTATATAACAGTTTTTACATTTTTATTAGTAATTTTATATTTGAACTGTTGTGCTACCTGATGACTTTGCAAATTAGGAATAGCTGCTAACATAAGAGCTCAAGGAGCCTAAAATTTTGTTTTTAAAAAGGACACAGTTTCAAAGTCTAAATCTTTAATTGCAGTTTGGCCTTGTGTATATAGCTATACAGTGCCTAATGGTGTATGTACATGCATATACACACAAAAGCACACACTACTGTGTAGCTAAACGCATATTAAGCAAAACTACTTACTGGAAGGAGTGATTGTACAGTTCTTGATTCAGGCAAAAGTCCTATAGATCTCACCTGCTTGAGGAATGCAAGGCTGGGTCCAAAATGGGGCTGTATTTCAACTAAACTTTTTAATTTTAGTATCTATCTCTTGCTGAAACTATGTAGCAAGTTTGCTTGGGAGCCATAGTTCTGCATTTAATTTTTTTTTACGTGTTAGCACGTGTTTCTGTGACTTTAAAAAAACAAAATACTGCCAAGATGAATGCCTACAACAGTAGCACTGCTTCAATTACTACCTAAAACCATTTCATATTGAATGATGCCGTGGTAGAACTCACATGCAGATTCCTTTTCCCAGGGTTTCATTCGAACTAAAAGGGGTATTTAAGCAAGTTGGTTGAGAACCTAGGGAATTACCATGGCATAAGCATGTAACAAAACCACAAATTAACAGCTACCTGGTTCTTGCGGGTTTTTATTGTTTTGTATTGTTGGGAAAACAAAGTAGAAGATTAGTATACCATGTTTAACCGTTTATGTTCTGTGTTAATTTCTGCAGTTAACTCAATTTTATTTTCAAATCTACAGTAAAACATGATAGCAAAGATAAAACCGCATTAAGAGTTGATGTGATGCTAATATAAAGGAAATGCTGCTTATTTTAAGAATGTCTTGAACTGAGTGACAAGCATGAACACAGTTTAAATAATGACAACTTGTTTTTAAAAAGTCCAGTTAAAATTATATAATGCAATACAGAGTATTCAAATATGATTGTTTTTCTTGTTAAGGGGATCAATTGCTACAAGTTGTACATGAGAATATTACTGATGTGCATTTCAAATATTTTTGTGCATTATCAAAGTTATACAATAAACAGTGTTCCTTACAATACATACTTGGTAAAATTTAGCTAAGAAACAAATTCTGTGAAAGTTTGGTTTTATTTAAAGTTAGCTTCTTAGAATCTTATAACATGCCCCTGGAAGTTGTGTATGTATCAGCATACCTGTGTTTTCACTTGCTTGTTCCTGGCAGACCTTGAGCAGCTACAAAGCTAGTATCAAAACATTCATGAAAGTCCTTTTTCTGTATCACATAAATGAATTGGTTCGATGTCAGTCTACCAATCTCCCAAGATAGTTGTTATATCAATACTACTTCATAGGGCATAATTGTTTTTTTAAGCTGAATTCTAAGCTTTGTGATATCTTAAAATGATAATAGTATCTTAGGTCATGTTAAGCCACTTGTAGTAATACTATCTTTTAGAAATAGTGAATGAACTTCATCAGCAGTAACCATGACTTGAAAATAATATGATGAAAAGCGTTCCAGTAAGGATCTTAAATAGTGGTTTTCATCTGGTGGCTGAATAATAAGTTCTTTGATAGTCTAGATAAGCAGACAACTAGCTAACCACCACCATGTCTCTGGGATTTCTATAATATATCTGCAATGCAGAATTTCTTCATGCAGAATGAGGTATTTGGGTTCTTTACAGTTATTCCTATTTCTGGAAGGAAAAAACGTGAAAGTGATAGAACCAAGTAAAGATTATGCTTTTGAGCAAGGTAAGCTTTCATTCTACTGCTGAATTTGGTAGCAACTTCAATTGCAATACAAAAGGAAAATTAAAATGTCAGCCCTAGTTCAAAAAAACTTGATTCTTGTTCTGGCTTGGCCCTCCCTTAAGTGCTTAAATTTTCTCCACTGTATCAAAGCTGTCAAAAGAGGGTATGTGTTTATTTAGCAGAGAACCCCACTTCTCTACTCTCTCAATAGCTTTAAATTGCTCTTGCTAACTTGGGGGGCATAGATGTGTTTGAAGACTCTTTAGGCCTATATGTAAGGTGACGAAATGGGGTAAGTAATGGTATATGCTAGTGCTTACTGCTATAGTAGTTTATCCAATACAAACCACAGCTGATATGTAAAAATTATTAATTTTAAAAACTTAGCGATCACTGTGTATAAATTCAATGAATCTGAAAACGTGGTTTCATCCTAAGAGGGAAAAACATTGCAGTGGGTAAAAAGAACAGGAGAAGCTTTGATTTCACGTAACGTACTGATCACTTGATCGTACGCTTCTTTGGGTTGTAGATGCCCGATTGTTTTGCAGTACGCTACTGTAATTATTTTTTCCTAGAGTTACAGTAATAATCCTTCTTACAGATGTCACATGAACTGCACCTGAATGGTGACTATAAATAAAATGTTCCTCTCTACTGAAAAGCATTTACATGTTGAACTTCCCAGACACTTTAAAAAAAAAAAAAGGTACTACGCTTGTAGACCTGGCATATCAGTATGACTTAGATGCTGTTGGGTGCTTTGCATTTATGAAACAAGCTTTCTTAAATGCCTAACCTAAATTTTAACCTGGAATTAAAAGGTTAACTTGAGCATTTAAATAAATGTGCTCCTGTGTGGTCATGCTGCAGATGCTTAATTCCAATGCCAGAAATTATTAACATATACTTGAAACCACTGTAAACTGACATTTTTATGGTATGTGTTTAGCACTCCCATGTGGACATAAATGGTACTAAATGTTAATAATTCTTCATTGCTGTTTTCTTGGAAAGTTAGCTTCAGGTGCGGTACTAGCAAACAGCTGTGCTAAACGCTATGAACTCCAGTACTGGATTTGCTTCCCTCCTTAAAGAGGAGGTGGGAGAGAAGGAAGGAGGGGAAAAAAAAAAAAAAACATCGAGACTGTATTTCTATGTTAAGATACACTATCTTCATGTAATAGAGAAGTAAAGCTCTGTAACAGAACTGGGAAGTATTTTAAGAGATGGAAGAGAATTCTCTTAGATTATTGCAAATCCACTTATCTGCATCTTAAATCAGAATCTTCAAACTCCAGCCTTCTACCCTTATTAGTATCTGGCTAGACAATTTATCCTCAGTTGTTTGGTACTAAAGCAAATTCTCTTTCTCATTTCAGTAGATATAAAGTATGGTTTACAGTACTAGAGCCCAGATCCATTAACTTCAGTGCAAGGTGAAGCCTTTCCATTTACTTTAAATGAACTTTCCCACAGCTTTTTTTTTTTTTAATTACTTAAAAAAAAAAAAAAACAAAAAAACAAACAACAAAACAAACCAAAACAACCAACCAACGAACCAAAAAAAAAAAAAAAAAAAAACCAAACAAAAACCACAAACAACAACAACAACAAGAAAAAAAAAAAACAGCCCTATCTTGAAGATTCATGGAGTAATTTTGAAAATGTGTCCAATATATCAGATGTACTGGAACAGTTTTTCCTTACCGGCAGACTTAACAGCTCTAAAGCTCCATTATCACATTGATATTTTTACGATACATGTGTTTTGGACTTATCTAGAAGTCTTCTCTAGGCACACATAATTAGAGTGATACTGTAAGATTGAACACTTTTGAATTTAAGTAAAAATCAATGTCTTAAATTCAGTTACTAAAAAAAAGGGTCTTAAAATAAATACTTCTGTTAAACACCATTCACATGAGTGTTGCTGCTTAAGTGCACATGAGATAAATAACCTAGCATGCCAGTGAAGTAACTCAGCTTATAAGTTAGCCTTCGTACACTATTTTATGATGCTTCCCAGTGTCCAAAAAAAAAAATTGTACCGAGAAACAGAGAATGAAGACAAAGGCTCTTGTTTTAGTAGTTAGAAGAAAAAGGAAGGACGATAAAAACATTAAAGTAGATGGCGTTCATATATTGCATTTTACACAGAATTGAGCTAAAACTACACCTTACTTCTAAGTAATGTAGAATTAAATTGTTTGTGTAATAGTTCTGCAAAAAAACCCTACAAGGAAATAGGCAGTATTAAGCACTTCCTTCTGCAGTACAGAGGTGTGTCTGTGCTGTGGATTGTGCTGGTTCCCATGTGTAACTTACAACATAAAAACAAAACCCAATTCAGAGATGCTTGGAGATATAAAAATACTTAAATATAATAAGTAAATTTTCATAAGCTGCTCCTCCAAGCTGTCACTAACAGTTTCTAAAACAAGAACAAAGTGTTGCAATACTTAAAACATGCTGAAGCTTTTTCTAGTTGGCTCAAGTTTCCATGGATTTAACCATTTGATTAAACCTTATTAACCTAGAAAGTAGCACATAAGTAGTTCAGGCTAGGTACCGGTAACTTGAATATTGTAGGAGAAAATTCTGAACTCATCTTCTATTTCAGTAGATAATCTCTCTTAACAAAACACTTAGAATGCCTGAGTGATGTTTTAAGGTGCAGTAACGATATTGTACAGTCTCTAGCGTGTATCTAAAATACTGGGTTTGACAATTCCTTCTCTCCTGGTGAAAGCTAGTGTTTAAAAACTCAGGAAGATTTTACTTGCTTTCAATGAAAATGTTTTCATTCCTAAGGAGTTTAGCAAATACTATGGGAATTTTGTTTTCTGTGGCTGTTTGCTGTGGGCTAACCTTTAACTTAAAGATGCAACCCGGGTGGGAGGAGAGGGCAAACCAGCTCTTGCTGGAAGTAGTTTGTGAGTTTTTGAAATCAAATTATATTGGCTGCATGCTGCAGGCAGTCTTATCTGTACCATAGTGGAAAAAAAAGATGTTATATTTTTATTTAGTGTTCACTCTTCAAATGATTCTGTATAGGTTGGTCCTTCTCCTTGATGTGGAGTGAGTGGTTTTGTCCTTTTTACTTTATGGTTAGTCATAACTGGTTTTAGTTTTGGTAAATGTCAATGGAAAAAAACGTAGGACCATTGTATACAGTGCCTAAGGTGGTTTTGAAGTCTCTTTGCGTGGGTTTCTTCTAGCAGGAATATTCTTTCAAGCCATGCTGATGTAATATTGATTTCAGCTCTTGTATTTGCCCTCTGCATCATAAAGTCTTTTGGAGGTCAGCATTTGTGAAACTGCTAAGATTTACTCCTTTGTGCCTATGGAGATGAATTTTCACAAAATAACTGTGCAGAAATATGTTTGAAGGTGACTTTTGCTTTTTTTCAATTAAAAGTGGTTGGAAACTAGTCTGAAGTGAAGGCATGTTGAGCAGTCGGGGCCCCGGACGCCATGAGCGCGGGGGGGTCTCAGCAGCTTATGCAGTACACAGGCTTCTCTGGGAAGATAAACTAGGTTGTACTTGCATAGTAGGCTGTGAGCCATCTTTGCTTGTGCTTTTGGGCTCCTTTCAGACAGAGGGCACAGTACCAAATGTGGCTAAAAAGTGTCGTGAAGATCACTTGCAAACCAGGAAACTATGAAAGGGGCTGAAAAGGCAGACCACTGTAAAACCAGTGCTCAGAGAGCTGTGTTCTGATTCGGCGGAGTGTATAATCTGGTGTTACTTCAGCCATGTGAGTTACACTTAAAATGAGTGGGTCTGTTTGCCTTTTTTATTATTATAATTATTATTATTGTTACTGTTTTTTTAATTAGAGATGGCAGGTGTGTTGAGAATATCAAGAAGAAATGTATCTCCCTGATTACTTTTCCTTCTTCCAGTGAAGTGTTTGTATATGGACCTTAAGCAATATTGCTAAACTTCAATGCCTCTTCCATTTTGAGTAACTTGTTATCAGTGCTTCGTTACTTCTCTAAAAAGCAGTTTTGCATTCCAGTCTTTTCATAGTTTTTTGGCACTCAAAATGCTGCTTATGCTTTAGCCTGGTCTGCTTTGAGCTCCTGTCTTTTATCTGCTTCTATTAACTGCCTTTTCTAAATGGCTCAATACAGAAGAGTAGGATTTATATTTGAGACGGCTCCAAAACTAACACTAAAGCCAAAAAGTATTCTTATCAGACACATCTTTGCACAATTTGAAACTTGAAATTATTTTAAAGTATAAAATATAACATGCTAGGGCATATTTCTTATCTCAGGAATCAATTCTTGCTCTTTGAATGTTTAATACATTTGTGTTTATTTTCCTGATTCAGGGTAGCTCGCATGAGATGTGAAAAAGATAAAGTCTGGTAGTTTCATGAGGTCAGGGTCACACCAAGGAACCTGAAAGTACAAGAGGAAATAATGGTCTGATGGCTGCGGTTCTCGTGCTTTCCATGTGAATTTGAGAACTCTGAAAACTTCTGTAAAAACAGTGCAGGATGTCACTTCTAACTGCAACATGATTTCATCCTCATCAGCTGACAGCTTTTCATGCAGGATTTCTCCTAGGTTGAATCCATAGCTCTGTGCATTAATTGGAGATATATATCCAACCTGGCGAAAACTAGGCAAGAAAAGCTGTTGGCTGCTGAGGAACCCTAGATGGTAATATAGGAATGCTGTAATGCTTGCATGGCAAAGAGCTAATATATGGCCTTTTATAGCTTTAGGGTCCAGTTCTGCAAATGCTATACAGCATAATGCTACAATAACAAACAATACTACTTAAAGAATTTTTGTGCTGTCGTTTCTACTAATGTTTGCAAACTGGGCCTCTTTTTTACATTAATTGTTCGTAATTCGTAAGAGTTGTCTTCTATGTTGCAAGATGTTCAGGATTACACTTTCTAGCATGTCAGCAGTTTTGGTTAAGTGGATGACAACTCAGTGTTGTGGTTTGGTGTATACCATGAGATACTACACTTGTGATTTGTAAGACGTTGCAATCTGTTCACTGTGTAAACAAAAAACTATTGCACCTGCTGTACTTTAAAAAAAGCAATAATGTGAGCATCCTGTAGCTTTCATCTCCAAAGGTGCTATCTGTCATGATCACTTGCACTGTTGACCAGGAATTCGGTAAAAACATGTTAAAGAAATGGTCCTGTGTGGTTCACTCAGCACATGCAAGTTGAAACTTTTTATGGTCAGCTTGTGTATTAACAAATGCAGTACTTTGTTGGACTACTTACATGACCACGCACAACTTTAAAAATCAAAAACCTATGTCCATTTATGGTGCTAATGATCTCTTAAAAATTATCAAAAGTTGATATTCTCTTCTTACCCATGAACATTAAGGAAAGCTGTTCTGAGACCTTTTCAATAAAGCAAAATTTCTCTACATTTTAAGCCTGTTCCAAATGCTTTTTATATAATTATGACCCTTTTCTATTTGTTTTATGTAAAACCTGCAAAATATTATAGTGTTTTTTAATGCAGGAAAATGTTAGGAGTGTATATGGGTCTAGGCTACACGTCCAAGATTAAATTTTCATACATGCTTAGGATTGCTAATTTTCTGAAACTTTGTCTCAAATATAAGAATTGTATTGGGTAGGATTAAGGCACAGATTAATAGTTTAAAAAAATAAATCTCTGGTTTCATCATCTTTTTTGAAGCCTTGTGGACACTGAGGATGTGAAATGGACAAAACTATTAGGAGAACGCTGATTATGCAGTGTAGGTCCAGTTTTTGCTGTAGCTTCTGAAAAGCTAGTGAAGGAACATGACATTGTAACCATATCTAAAGAACAAAAGTGAAACTTGACGTGATTATCAAGGCAATTTGTAGTAGGACAGGATAAAAAACACATGTAAGAACCTTAAACTAGGATTGTTTAGATTGTAGAACAGCCAAGTAATTTTCTAATTTGTTTTAGAACTTCACAAGCAACCTTGTCTTAAGATGAAAACCTACCTTGTGCCTTCTGTTGCAGAAGATATTGTTTGTTTGGTTTTTTTTCTCTTCAGTTATGATTTTATGTTGCATATGGTGAAAGACAATGCACTTCCAAATCTTGGGCCGCAATAGATGTACTTTCTCTCCATGGATAATACAAAGCCTTTAGTTCTTGTTAAAGGCCCCTTACTTCTCAACTTGCAGTTGTAAAAGTGTCTGCCTGTAACACATTTGGAAATCCTACTATAAACAACTCTGAAATAAGTATGATGCTCCTAATTGATAGAGACATGTGAACATGCAGAGCGGGTGCCATGTCCAGGTGCACACTGGTGAGCGGGCAGGGTGCATGTACAAGGGGACAGTCTGGAACCCCACGGCACACTTCCTCTGCTCTGAAGTCGTCGCACCCAGAGATTCTGGTCTATTAAACACTATTTTTCATATACTGGAATAAGTTCTCTTGAATCAGTCGCATCTAGTACTCCAAGAAAGAAACAGGCTTCCCTAAGATCTTTTTTATGGAACTTCTGTGTGCAAAGAATTTTCCCACTCTAGAATAACTTCACTTAAAGCAGAAACAAACCCACTATGTAGGATAAAAGCAGGGCTGGCAGGGTGTTCTGTTGCGCGAGGATGTATAGTCTAGCAACAACAGTCTGTTCTGTCTTGCTACTTTTCTCAATGCTTGCTTTAATAACGGGACACTTGGAAGACACTTGGAAAAGCCAAAGATAGAACAAAGTCATCCATAACAGTTTTAAGCCACCTTGAAATACAGCTGTCCTATCTTTTAACTGCTAGATACTTCAGAGAAAACAGGTTGTCTTTTTTTAATTTACCGAAGTGCAATGCTTACAGAAATATTGAGGTAAATGGCTGTATGTTTAAGTGCTCAGCAAAACCAAAACCTTTGAGAGCATGTGACACACGCTTGACTGAGAATAGATTTTTAGCATTAGCATCTGCTGTGAGTTACAGAAACATCTTTGTCAGTCCACTAGTCCAACTCAGAACTTCTAAATATTTTTCAATATTCTTTTGACAAGGAGAATGTTTTTTGTGAATAAAGTGCCTGTGGAAATAAAAATCTAAAAGTTGACTGCAATCTTAAATAAAGTGTATGAAAACACAGCCCATACTTGGAGAGAATGGGTGCGGTGTTAACAACTGTATATAATAACCGGTCAACAGTCATAAGTGTTGATAGGATTCAAAGGCTAAGATAAAGTTTGAGAAAGGGATATTATATTGCTTTTGAGAGATAACTGTGTTAATTAAACTTCCAATGTTTCTGCTTGGATCTTAACTCTCTAACCTGGTTACCTTTAAAGACAAATTAGTTCATTGTGAACTTCTTTTTTAAAAAAAACCCACTCATTTTAACGACAGTCTGCACTCTGGTGGGGTTTTTTGTTTGCTTGTTTACCTATTAGAGTCACCAGATGTTTTGATTACTCAATTTAGGGCAAAGCAGTTTGAGGCATGGGTTCTCCTTAAGTGCAGAAATAAAGGAGGGTGGCTTTTATTACACTGATACTAGGACTGAGGAGGAATTATTTCAAAGGAAAGCATTATAGTGCTAAAATTTGTATATATAATTATTTGGAGTATGCAGAATACTAGTAAAGTACTTGGTTATATTTTGCTGTTTTATGCTTTAAAAAGAGGCTATTTGATTCGAATTTCAATTGGAAAAACTGACTGTAATGCTGCAACAAGGTCTATTACATTTAAGTAGACACAAAACATCCAGTCATGATACTTCAGAGCAAAGTTTACATTTGATTAGTAAATTCACTTAAAACTATGAAGGTAATTTCATTTTTATCAAAATTAATGTGAAATTTTATTTATGTGCAAACTATATTTGACCATATGCCACTGAAACCAATCTTCCAACTGCATATGGAGGCAATGAGAAAATTTATCTATTGCTAGTTCTCGACTAGATTGAGAAGGAACTGAAGCTAGATTACTCTTCTATAAATAGGTAAAAGAACCGATCTGTTTCAGCTGTGCTGAATAGCTTAGCTTCATATTTAAAGATTGCAGAATTTAAACTTTTATTGGGACTGTCTTTGATTCACATAAATTTTCACCTGTTTCTGTATTTTTCTAATAGATGCATTTTATTGATGTACATTGTAATTAACCACTGAATTTCTGCCAAATATGAAAAAAAAAAAAGCTGCATTATGTTTTGCCAATTTAAATCTGTGATCTTAGTTTTTCTACTTTAATCCATGACTAGTAGAATATCCATTTGCTGTTTATATTAGAGATGTTGCATCCAGTTGCCTTAATTGCTTGGAGCAAAACTGACCTTGATCATTTGACTTTCTAATGGCTTTATGTACTTCTAAAATTCCTGTAACTTCTATATAATTGCAATAAAACATTTTTAATACAGTCCAGACACTATTTTAAGAACCACTTGTCACTGTATTTACTGAATGTTCAACTACTTAAAAAAAAAAACCACCCTGTTTAATGGGTAAGCACCACTTGTTCCTTACACTTTTATTTTTAGGGGGTCACTTTAGAGGTGGTGTACTTGTGTTTTGCCCACAGTGCTTTTCTCTTTTAGTGAGGGAGTACCAGGAGTACTTACTGATGCTGGAGCAAAGGGTGTGGAAGATCTGGCAGTAGCATTTTTTTCAACATCTCATTAGCTTCGTAGGGATTAAATTTGGGGTGATCGACTGCAGAAAGTGAACTAAGGAGTAGTTCAGTGGGAAGGGGGGAGCTGCCCTGAAAACTGGGTGGGGGGTTGGGGGTTTTGTTTTGGGGTTGTTTTGTGTATGTTTGTTTTTTGGTTGTTTGTGTGTGTGTGGGGGGGGGGTGGGGGTGTTTTTTTTTTTTGTTTTGTTTTTTGTTTTTTTGTTTGTTTGTTTTTTTAATGGGGAAGGATGAGAACTAAAACCATTTTTCCTCTTAACGTTCAGGTCTGGCTCTGAGGAGCTGCTCTGTGCTGTCCTACATTTGCCAAGCAGTTACTTACCCTAGAGCTGGGTCGTTGTTCCAGGTTAGTCTTTGGTTATGAAAATGGAAAATTTCGGTGCATTACCTAGCAGTGCCAGCTTTTGTATTTGGAAAGGGGGAGGATCCTCTGTCTTTACCCCTAAACCCCCCTGCACCTAACTAGCTGTTTACATAAGGGGCGTTTGGAGAAAAAAAAAAAGTCCTATGAGGCTGTGGCGAGCCATCTTCTTTTTAAAAAAAAAAAAAAAAAAAAAAAAAAAAAAAAAAAGAGCTGGACATCCTGTGCTTACATTTAGTGATATATTTTAAACTTGGACGAGATTTAAGCGCTGCGTCAGCTCCTACCCTACCCCCCCGCGCTGCACTGCTGCCGGCGCCGCCGCTCTCGGGCTCCCGGCCCGCTCTTCCTCGCCCGCTCCCCGCCGCTCCCGCCCGCCGGCCGCCGCTAACGGGAGTGGGGCCGGGCCCCGGGGCGGCCCGCTACCCGCCCTCACCCCGGCGGGGGACGGGCTCAGGGCGCCGCAGGCCCCGCCTCCCGCCATCTTAAACCGGGGGGCCGCGGTGGGCCCGCGGCGCCGCCTGAGGGGATGGCGGCGGGGCAGGCGGCCGAGTCCGGCTGGAGCTGGCTGCTGCGGGCCCCCACCACCACCGAGCTGCTGCTGGCCGCCCTGTGCTGGCTGGGCTGCTACTGGCTGCTGCGGCGGCCGCGGGCGCCGCCGGGGCTGCCGCCGGGCCCGCCGCCCTGGCCGCTGGTGGGCAACTTCGCCTTCGCCCTGCTGCCGCCGCCGCTGCTGAGGCGGTGGGCGGTGGAGGTGCGGGGCGGCGGCCGGGGCTCCCCCGCCTTCTCCCCCCACGTTTTCCTCACCGGCCTCACCGAGATGTACGGCAGCGTCTTCCGGCTCTTCGTGGGCAGCCGGCCCTTCATCGTCCTCAACACCTTCGGGGCGGTGCGGGAGGCGCTGGTGCAGAAGGCGGAGGTGTTCAGCGACCGGCCCTCCGTCCCCATCGTCCTCATGATCACCCGCAAGAAGGGTAAGCGGCCCCGCGGGCCTCCTGGGCGCGCTGCCGCTCGCGTAGCCGGCTGCCGGCGGCGATGCTGGGCGGGAATAGCGAGCGGCAGCGCTTCGGTTTCGCGGCTGCCGTGCCGAAACGTACCAACGTCTGCCGAGAACGACGGGCTGAGCCGTCTGCTTGCTCATGGCAGGTGCCCCCGGCCCTTCACATCGGCTTGCGGTAAAGGGGATGGCGTTTCTGCGGGGGTGTAAGGAACAGCCAGGGGCTTCCTGAATTTTGCGGTATTAGGGGAAGAAATTTTGAACGCCTCAGCAGCGGTATGAAATCGTGCGCTTCCCCGGTTGCTAGCAAGGTGTCGATGGCTGACAGCTGGCCTCCGTGGAGGCCCATGTCTGCGCTGGCAGCACGCGAGCTGCTGCTGCTGGGCTGTTTGCAGGTGTGTTATTCTGCTTGTCAAAGCTTTACTGAGCATATTTGGGTTTTTTTGTTGTTGTTTTTTGTTTTTTGGGTTTTTTTTTTTTTTTGAGTAGGTCAAAGGACAGTTTACTAGCTTTTGCAAAAAGAGATGGCACGGGGAGTTCAAACACATGATGGCAATATCGCAGTTAGAATTTCTTCATGTTTAGTCTTTAGGTCCGTTATAGATATCTGTTTGTGGAAAACTACCTTTCCTTTTTCAGTTCAGGAGGGGTAGCCCAGGAGCTTTGCTAATGTGCTAACTGTATTGTGAAATTGTGTTTGTTTTTTTTTTTTTTTCCTGAGGCCAGGGAAATCTATTGGTTAAGTATCTTAAACTTTTTATCTTCGATGTTTGACTGTACCAGAATTACCCCAGTAAAGATAAAAGTGAGGGACCTAGACCATGTTCATCAAAAAGGAATCAGCTACCGTTGCTATAATTGGTTTAAAGGATTAAAAAAAAATATTAATTATGTTGGTTTTATGATATTGGTCTGAGACAGATCTTAACTGGCACGTTAGTTGTTACAGTGCGTGAATATTTTTAGGTACAGTACATGTAGCAAGGATGCGGGAGGAAAGGTGAAGAGCAGTTAGACATTACATCAGTTCTAGCATGCTGTAAAAGCTCCTGGTGGATTTCTTTTTCCTTGAATATCATGGATTTTGTATGCTGCTTATTCTCTGCGGACAGTTCTCTGTTAGACTTTTTTGAACACGGTGAGACAAGAGTAGCCAGGGCAGTGAGTGGCTTCCACGGGTGGATGATCCGGGTGAGTCGGAAGCATACGGAGCCAGTTGTCCAGCACACGCTGCAGCCAAGTGCAGGGACTGTACCTGCCTGTGCTGTGGCAGGAACATTACCTTGCTTTACATTCAGTTTTATCTGGAAGGTCACCACAGCTGCGCTCAGGCACGAGGGCTGTTACGTGAGGCTTGCCCAGTTGTCCACAAAATGTACTGAGCTGTTACGTATCGCTTACGTTAGTGGGCACAACAAGTTGAATTGCTGCGTATGTGAGAGTATTGTAGAGTGAACTGCAGGGGTGGTGTATTTTGAGTATACAAAGGGAAAAAGTCAGTGAATATGGGCAGAGTGGGCCTGCCTGGCCCCCGCGTAAAGACGTTCTCCAAAAGCTGCTGGAAGTCACAGCTGCTGTCAGTGGGCTGGCATGACTTTAGCGGTGGCATGTGTGAGATGACCCAGCCTCTGCAACGCTGTATTTGTGCTACTGGGAAGGTGGTTGCTGCAGAATGGGTGGGTAAGAGGTGAGCAATACATGTTTTCCAACAGCTTTGTTTTTTCTTTTACATTGTACCTACATGGTAAAAAAAACAAAACAAACATACAAACAACCAAAAAAACGCCAACAAAACAAAAAGCCCCCCAAAACCAATCAATAAACTAAATCTAACTTAAGTTTTCACATATTATTCCTAAGAGCTCTGAGTTAACAAGTGTTTCTTTTTGTGTGTGGTTCATGGAGGAGGTGAATGGGTTACATCACTCAAACTGGAGGCCTCCGAAAGACTCAAACTGGAGACCAGTTTGGTCTGGGAGCCTCCCATGCTTAGTTTCAGGAGTTCATGGGTGAGACTTTGCCATGGATCAGGGCAGTGACAGTTGTGTACATATGTGCTAGGAAAGGAAACAGTAGAAGAGGAATGATTACATAACTTTGGATCTATTGCTCACGACTTGGGTACTACAACTCTGGGACACTTTGAGTCAATAAGCATCTGTTTTTTATTCCTACATCTTCATTCTGTAAACAAACTACTTGGTGCAAACTTATGGGGCTATTTTCTTTTAAGCTAAGTTTTCTGTTGCAGTTTTGTCTTTACCCTGAGCTGACCTGCTGAGTGTGTGCTGAGGGTTTCTCTCAGCTGTGTGTGACTCTCTTGTGTGTAAGATGCAAATAAAATGTTGTGCTCAGGGGAGAGCAAGTAGAAGTATCAAAAATTGCAAATGCTGCATTTCAGCAACTGAGTAGCAAAGAAGGGGAGGCCTTGGCTGGATGGGAAGTGCAGTGACAACTTGAGGGAGAAGGCAGAGGGCAGTTCTTAATTGAAGGCTTCTGCACACATGCATGCAGGAAGAGAAATACTGGACTGGGGAGAAAAAGTAGATTTTGGTATTTTTTAGTAAAGCATTTTTGTATTCTATATCCATGAGAGGTAGCAAAGACTCAATCTCTAGGGTGGACAGAGCTTGAGTGGTTGTCTGCCATTATAGTCCTGCCCTGTGCACATCCAGATGTGGGCATCGGACAACACAGAAGTTAAATGTTATTAAATATCGTGAATTCTGTGTTTGTCAATGTTCCTGGTATTGCAGCAACACTAAAGTTAATAGTGAGAAACTGGGCAGGGGGGAAAGAAAGGGGAGTTAGCCTTTGCCAGAACTTGCTTCTCATAAGGATTTGAATTTTTCATGTAAAAAGGGAGAATAAAACAAATTTTCTATCTTTCTGTGTGTTTGTTGCTTTTTTGTTGTTTGTTGTGTTTGAAAGGGTTTCATTATAGTTCATAGAAATTAGCCCGCTGTAATGAGCACAATGTCCTGGTTATTCTGGGTTCTTGTTGCTTCAGAATTTATTGTATTTTCTTCAGGGTTTGTTTTTTTTTTTATTGTTTTGTTTGTTGTGGGGTTTGGGGGGGTGTTGTTTTGTTGTGGGTTTGGGGTTTTTTTTAAGACTACAGTTGCTTGTGCTGGGTAGTTGACTTTTCAGGTCATGCAGAGATCTTCTTTGAAAACAGTGAAGTACTATTCCATTATTATTGTCTGGCAGTGATCCAGTTGGCAGTTTCCTTTCTTCTCTTATCTCTGTTATTTTTACTTTATGCTCTTCTTCCTCTTAATCTGTTTCCTATGTTATTCTTTCTCAGTTTGCAAATCAATTATTAGTATTCTGCAGTGGTCTGGGGGTTTGGGACTGCAGAAGACCTCGTGCTGTGCAGCAGTGCCCTGGGCAGGACTGCTGGGGAGGCTCTCTCGGGGTGGGGAGGTTTGTTGTTGGCATTAGCCTTCCTGTGGGGCTAGAAGCATCGTCTTTACATTCAAGACAATAGGTCTGTTTTCATTTATGAAGGGATTTGTATCCTAAAACTAGTTTTTCTAATGACAGAATGGGGAAGAGGTTGTGGAGTATGGTCTGTTTTGCAGATACTTCTTGTGGGATAGAAATAGTGACAACATTGTTTTGTTCCAAGAAATCCACGTTCTTCTCCAACACAGCCACAAGCCCTGACAACCCAAGTTGGTTCTTGGCCAAATTCAGCCCCAAATAAGCTTATTTTTTTACCTGCCCTATGTGGACACCAGTGCTACTAGGAAACGTTACTTGAGAAAGGGAATCTGAAAAGTTCTTACTTCTGTTTTTGAAGTGCCAGGGATTAGTCACTTGGATAGATTTCCTAGGGAATGTCTTCATGCAGAGAAGGTGAATTTCAGCTGATTCTCCTTGTTCTGACTCTTCATAATGTTCTGCTTATTTCATTCAGGGCTTTTGAAACTAGGTCATGTGTTTGCATTCTTCAGTCTGTTGTTACTACTGTGAGTAAATAATATAATCAGAAAATCTGGCTAGAAAGATTACGAGCTTTGTTACACTGAACTATTTATACTTTTGGGATTGCAGACCCTTCTGAGTATGGTTATCGTGTTTACAAATCTACAGATTTGTTTCTAGTTTTGTGTTCGTTTATTCTTCTTTTAGCATTAAGGGCAATGAATATTAGTTACAATAGAAGGGTAGGTAATTGTTATAAATAACAGAAGGATTTTGCTTTTGCTAAAAGTAATTAAACAATTACTTTTATTGAGCTAGGCTAAAGGCCTTACTAAATTAGTGTTGTTGAAATCAAATTTAAGCACTCCTTTTTTGATCACAAATTAGGCATATGGTTGGGCATTGTGTGGAATTGGGCAAGCAAGAGGATGGGGGGGTGGTCTGTGGTTAGGTGTCATGTAAAGGGGAACCTGGATGGGAGGGGCTGGGGAAGAATGGAAGCCAGCTGAAAAGGAAGAGAAGAACTCATGATGAGGAGGAACCTGGACTTCGCTAACCCCCCCCCCAGAGGGCAGTAGAAAAGTACTGAGAGAGAGCGAGCCTTGGAGAAACAAAAGAAAAGGAGCTGCACAGGTGTAAGGAGGACAAAACCCGCCATTTTTGCTCAACCAATGAAATCTCCTGGTTGCTTTATAAAAAGAAGCCCCAGCTGGGGCAGGTTGTGCTGTTGTGCCCAACGCTGTATTCTTTGCTCCACTGACTTTGTCCCCAGTAAAAAATTTTTTTGATATACGCGAGCTTGTTTCTCACATAATGTTAAGCATTGAAGCATAGTGCATCTTTTTATTGCTGTTTTCTTACGGTCACGTCTCTTTCTTTAAAATTTAACATTAAGATTTGCAGTTGACATAAGGCTTGATGTTGCTTTTATAAAGTAACTTTTTATTTCCAGAAAAAAAACAGATGTGATGTCACTTTACTAGAAAGAACAAAAGCAGAACTAGCACATGTTTTGATGACTGTAAACTTTCTCAGGTTAACCAATGGAGTACATTAGAAATAGCAGGTTATGTATTTTGTTTTGCTGAGGTATCTTTGGTGTGGGCTGTTAATTCAACAAAAGAGATGTTTCTGTTTGTAAGTAAGCGATATTTATACTTGAAGCTAAGGGATTTAATTTAAATGGTGTTTCACAATGACACAGTCATGCGGAACACTTGCCTAGAGGCATCAAAACTGTTGAGATGCAAATCAAGTAGGTTTTTGCCAAGTGGCTCTGAACCCATCTGCACTGCAGTTTGTTTGCAGCATGCATATCCTGTATTTTGATTAGAAGTTAAAGAAAAACCTTTCTTGTAATAGAAATATGTACACAGGTGAACAGTGTTGCAAAGTTTGTATAACATGAAGGGGAAAAGAAATGCAAACCGGTTTGTGTTTTAATATCTTCTTTTCTGCCTCGCTGAAGGAATTCGTGTCACGTGACATATAGGTGACGAGTCCCAGAGTAACAGCTTCTACAAAATTGTTATTATTTGTAGTAAAGCACCTACAGTACCTTTTCTCCATCTATTAGTGTCTTGCAAGGACTAATAACACTATTGAGGTAACTGTTACATTACTTTCATTGATCAGGAATAGGAGAGATGGAATTTCCAAAAACTATTCTAAAGAACCTTGTGTTCTTCCTTTAGCTCCTAGACCAGTGCTCGGGATAGATTTGCCATGTATTGCCTCCCTCTGTTCTGTCTCTGGGGTTGCATGCCTGTCTAACTGCTCCTTCTTGAAAATAGAGCATTTTGGTTTCAGATTCTCCCTTTCTCTTCCAGGTGTTATTTTTGCACCTTATGGCCCTGTCTGGAAGCAACAGAGGAAATTCTCTCTCTCAACACTGCGTCATTTTGGAGTAGGAAGACACAGCTTGGAGCCTAAAATCATTGAGGAACTGAAGTTTATAAAGGAGGAAATGCTGAAACACGGAAAGGATTCATTTAATCCCTTTCCGATCATTCGCAATGCAGTGTCCAATGTAATCTGTTCCATGGCCTTTGGCAGGCGCTTTAACTACGAAGATGTTGAGTTCAAGACAATGCTGAAGAACATGGCCCGTGCACTAGAGCTAAGTGTGAACAGCTATATGATCCTGGTCAATATTTGTCCTTGGCTGTACTACCTTCCTTTCGGGCCTTTCCGGGAACTTAGGAAAACAGAATTAGATATTACAGCTTTTCTAAAAAAAATAATTGCACAGCACAGGGCTACACTGGATGCAGCAAACCCCAGGGACTTCATTGATATGTACTTCATCCATGCGGAAGAAGAAAAGAACAACAAGGAGAGCAGTTTTAATGAAGACTATCTATTTTTTATCATTGGTGACCTCTTCATCGCAGGCACAGACACTACTTCCAACACATTACTGTGGTGCCTGCTCTACATGTCTCTCTACCCAGAAGTACAAGGTAAGACAATTTTTATTCCAGATTATAAAGCTCTAGACGGGTGTTCAGAAAGAGAAGCGACCAACAACAGTAGTGAAGTCATTTGGAGTGCAAATAACACATGTGTATGTTTAATTTGAAAGGTTGATATGTAATCAGACATCTTCTATCCTGCTTTGCACTAGGTTAGTGCTATATATTAACTATCTAAATGGGCCTTTAGGCTCTCTGTTTCTTCTGGGTTGGGACAACTTCATCTTTCCCAAGCAATTCCAAGGAATGTTTCAAAAGCTTTGTCAGTTGTGGCATTCCATGCCTATAGTAGCAATTTAAGATACATGAGATACCTAGTGGTAAGGTCTGCTTTTATGCCTCCCTGATCAGGGAGGTTCTTGAGCCTAGCAGCAGAGTCTGGGGAAGTGAGACATTGCCCACTGTAGAGGAAGGTCAAATTAGAGGCAGTTTAAGCAATCTGGATTTACACAAGTCCATGGCACCAGCTGGTCAATGTCATTGCAAGGCTTCTCCCCATCAGGTTGCTGATGACAGTGGGGAAAAAGACGTATGGAGCACATGGCCTCAAAGGAGAGGCAGAAGGAACTGGGCATGTTCAATGTTAGGGCAAGATGACTGAAGGGAGACCTTATGCTGTCTACAACTACCTGATCAGAAGGTGCTAAGAAGATGGAGGCATCTGCTGCCTCTCTTCCCTCCATTGCACACCTCGGAGGGTGTGCAGTGGAGGGAAGAGAGGCAGCAGACAGTCTACAACAAGCAAATTCTGGTCAGATAGTAGGGAAAAAAATGCCCTATGAAGGTAGCAAGGAGTGCAAAAGATTGCCTGAGAATTAACAGAATCTCCAACTTTGAAAGTATTCAAAGCTCCGTAGGGCATGACCCTGAGTAGTCTGATCTACCCTCAGAGTTGGATCTAAATTGGAAGATGACTTGGCTTTGAGTGAGGATTTAGATTAGATGACCTCCAGAGGTTCCTTGCAACCCAAATTATTTGATGGTGCTGTGATCTGGTTACTGTTTGTGACAGAGTTCCAGAAAATGACTTGTAGATTTTTGTGGATATGAAAAATACCAGTGGTGTTGGAGAGGTTACAGTATTAAAGTAGTACTTGCTAAAGTTGTATTTCAGGGCTTCATAGGATAAATTTCCATCACCAAAGACTTAAAATTAATTTTGGTTAAATATTTTTTCTGTACTGAGTCTTGTTACAGTACATGTGGCTGCAAAGCCAGTGTTTTCTTTAGCACTATTTCGCAAATTTAAATGGTTGAATTTAAGAAAAATAAAGCAACTGATTTATTACATTATTTTCAGCTTCTTAAGTCCTACATAGCAACTGTTTTCCACTAGAAAAACTGTTAAATATATGCAGACTGGAAACCTTGGCAGGATAAGCAGATTCTACTTAGGTAATTCTACATCAGTTTATAGTAGTAAAATATTTCCCCAAGAGACCACTGCTTTGCCCAGACTACTTGCCAGCCTGGAATGAAGAAGGCTAAGACTCAAGTTATCAAAGAACGATATAAACCTGGAATACTTTTATCAGGCATTTGAGATTTTGAGGTTTTCATGTGCTGCAGCTGCTTTGCAAATAAGCAAATAGAAACCTGTTGACAGCACCTATCTGTCTGAAATAATCTCTTTAAATAGGTCAAGATCATAGTTCATTGCACAAAGTCAACCAAATGGTTGAGCAAACATTGCAAAATAGGGCATCAGTTCGGTATATGGGAGAGTCAGTCCGCAGGGGACAAATATAAAAATTTTATTGCAGAGGGTTATTCTATTTTGAATGGTTGTATGTTATCACTGCTTAATTTGATATACAGTTACATGAATTACATATGTTCTAAATTGCACAAATGAGTTCTAGAAGAGTTTTGTGTTTGATTTTTTTTTTTTTAAACCTCTTTCCCTACTGCCTGGAACTGCACATGCGTGTGCTTGTCCGTTTTCTCTCTTCTGCTGATCTCTAACAGTTTTATTGACTCTCTCTGGTTTCTCCTTTCCTTATGTTGTGGCTGTTACCAGACAATAGAAATAAGCTCAGTAGTCCAGAGTGTATCACTTAGCTATGTAATGGGATTCTCTTACTACTAGTATCCAGTTCCTCATGTGTGCTGATTGCCTGGGAGTCATATATGGGACTATTTTTTTTTTTCCTCTTTACTGGTAATATGTTTCTCTTATCCCCTAAAGGAAATACCTGAATTGCATAACTTTTAGCAGTTGCAAATGTTGCAGACATGGAAAAGAAAATGAAGGGCTATAAGGGGAAAAATGCAGAATGTATTTGCCCGTGGAGGCCAGTTTTGCTTTTTACATGGAAAAGGAGAGGGGTGGGTATGCACACATGTGTGCAGATACATGCGTCAAGGGAGGCAGTGGCAAATATTTGATTTGATCTGTTCCCTGACTTGGTTTTGGTCCTTGACTTCTGAAGATCTGTGAGATTATTTTAAAATATATGAAATGTAGTGGAGCAGTTCACATAACATGATGTTAGCAAACAACTCCTAAAGTCTACATTTTGCAGTTGGTAACATGAGCAGCAGTTTGGCTGCTTTCTGTATAGTTCCACATATCTTTACAAACTCCGAAGAAATGTTGTTCAGGATAAAATGCTGGTGTGACATTTGTCACGAGAGAGTCTCCCTAATTTCTATTTTTTATTTTTTAAATTGAAAATTTTAATCGTTTAAATTACTGTGGACATGCACACTGGAATACAAGGCTATACTCTGTCATTAAAAAAAACTATCAAAGCTCCACAAAGCAGGTACTTGAGAGCCACACCATTAGCAAATCTCTTGCTGTGGAGGTATTTTTTACTGTGTTCCTCACATGAGAATTTTGTTTTCCTAGCAAACCCAGTAGGTGGCAGCAACTGTTCATTGAACAAGGTTCGTGTGGTATTTCTGAATGATGCTCTTGAAAACAGTAACTTTTTTTTTTTGCGTTGAGTTTTTATTTAATATTGAATCAGTGCTAAGGAGAGAAAAGAGCAAAAACTCTGAGTATCAGCAGCCTGGATTCTGAATCTCAGAAAGTCAAGCAGGACAATCACAAAACATTCAGGATATCAAGGGTAAAAAATAACTTGATTAAAGGTTAATTTTGGGGTCTCCTCTTTCAGGATTGTCTCTTGCTGTGTAGCCAGGTGCCAAGTTACCTGGAAGAAAAGGTGCATCATCCTGTACATGGGTAAAGCAAATCTTGTGTCTTAGAAACTTATAGGAAGAGAATTACTTGTGTGTTGAGCCTTTAGTGAGATGGAAGGAGCAAACTTATTTTGACACTTGATGCTTCACATGAATGAGAGGGGAGATGGGCTCATTAACACCTGTTTTTCCTTTGCAGATGGGCTATATGGAAGAAGGAGCATCTGATGCTGCCTTTTGGGGGAACTGGGAAATAGCTGAGTTTAGGTTCTGTGAATAGAAAGTAGGAAAAATCGAGAACAAGTTAAATTACTTCAACACTTGCAGTAATAGCACCAGAATTCCTGCTCCAGAATGAAGTATATAAACTGCATGAAAATCTTTCCCATCTCTCCACCACATTTTCCAGTTCTGAGAAGTGGATCTCCCCAGGGACAGAGGCCAGCTCAGGCATGACCTGCATGCAGTCTCTTTTTGTTAATTTGTTTAAGGCAGGCCAGGAGCTCAATGTTTTCACTATTCAAATTACCGTATAGTTAAACTCTTAAACTAAGATTATGAATACATTTGGAACCAGAACAGAACTATTCCTGTACTTTTCCAATGCAGAAGTGCTAGCAATGTCTGTCATCTCAGTAGCTTTACTCTTGACAGTTGTCAAAATTGCACTTGATTGCTTTGTTCTTAAGTGAGTCTGTTCTTAAGGCTTACGTTGGTGTAGTTATTTCATCTAGGGATCACGTGGCTTGTAGTAATTTTTGACAAATTATATAGATAACAAAGCATAGGCAAATGAAATTGAGATATCTTCTCACATACCGTGCATCTTCTTTTATTTTTTTATTTTTCTCACTCCCTTTGAATAGAGAAGGTTCATGCAGAAATTGAAGCAGTTCTAGGACGTGACAAAGTTCCCTCTCTTACCCACAAGGCTCAAATGCCCTTCACAGAGGCAACCATTATGGAAGTGCAGAGGATGACTGCAGTTGTTCCCCTCTCTATTCCTCGAATGGCCTCAGAAACTGCTGGTAAGCATTTGTAGAGACTTATTAAGACAGCATTTCTTTTGTGGATGAAGATCGGATGGAGCATCTAGTGAGAATTTACAAATACCTCATTTATGTATTAGACATGTAACCCAAGTATGTAAAATGCCATTTATAGAGGGGAGGTGGCCTTAAGATACTCCTCTATTTAAGCAGCATGTCCAACCTAACATCCAGAAGTTTTCTAATTTAGAGCAATTTCTTTTCGGGGGGTCAGCTTGTGTTGACTGATGTGTTTAGTGGTAGTTGGCAGCTGAGTCTTCACCTTTGTTCCTGAAACAGCAGAGTTGGTTTTGGCCATGTGAAACACAGGTCTGAAAGCATCAATTCAGAGCAGTTGGTTTGCTAAAGCTTGAAAGGCATATACCATTGAGCTCCTCTTCTATATAAAACAATAATAAATATCCTTTTCCAAGTCATCTTTTTGGCTACATTTTGCATAAACATAGCTGAATGCTGGCTAAAGTGAGTGTGAGGTAGCAATACTTGGCTTTCAAACCCAGTACTGAATTGATCTGCTTTTTAAAATGCTTTGGTTTTCAGGACAGTGAGATGCCACAAGCTGAAATGAGACTAGTCACTTCAAAACTCTTTTTTAATAACAGTTCAAAACCCATCCCTTTTCCTTGCCTCCACCTTCACTGCGGTGGGGCTCTGTGACAGCACAGGAACAGGAGGAAACTTGTGTCACAGCACTTCCATGCAGCAGAATGTAGTTCTAACGATTGCTGCTGCCTTCTTCCTGCAGGGATGTCTTTCCAGCTGCTTTGGCCTGTGTGATTCTGACCCAGGCAGGCTAGCAGAGGTCACCCTTGTCTTAAGTTCCTGCTACATTTGCAGCCCACATCTAGGGATCTGTATCATTTTTGTGACATCTTCTAGACTTCTTTTTAGTGTCTCCCATGTTTACTTCTAGCAACTTGTCAGATCCTCTGTCTCTGTGCTTTTGTTTAAAGTGCTGCAGGGATATACTATTCCTAAGGGCAGTGTGATCGTGCCCAACTTGTGGTCAGTACACAGAGATCCTAACATTTGGGAGAAACCAGATGAATTTCAACCATCAAGATTTCTGGATGAAAATGGCCAGCTCATTAAGAAAGAGGCATTCATTCCTTTTGGAATGGGTAAGATAACCACATGCAGTCAGCAGCTGGTTGGGAGGAGGGGTTGTGGTGTTTCAAGGTCTTGGAGGCGTTAGATGTGAAAGCTGCACATAGGACCAACTCCAGAACTCATTTCATTATTATGGTTGGTGTCTTGCAAAATGGGTTGGGTTCCTAAAAGCTCGTTTCCAGACAGAAATGAGAAGTAATGAATTGTTCTCTGATAATACTTTTGCTATGGATGTAAATGCTGTTAATATGAAGCAGTACAGCTGAGCAGGGATGGGAAACCAGAGCTTCAGAGGTCATAGTTTAATAGTACCTTGAGCCTTTCTGTGTTTGGACTATGCTAGCATAGGGATTGCATGTGTGTTAACAAATGGATCAACAGTATAAAAACAGTAATATGTCTCTTCTAACTGTTCTTTAGGTAAACGTGTGTGCATGGGAGAGCAGTTGGCAAAAATGGAGCTGTTCTTAATTTTTGCGAGTCTAATGCAAAGTTTTACCTTTTTGTATCCTGAAAATGCTGCAAAACCATCTATGGAGGGAAGATTTGGTCTAACTTTAGCTCCGTGTCCATTCAATATAATAGCTTTGAAGAAATGAAGTGACATCAAAAAGGATTAAACAAAGAAATACTGCACTTTTAAAATACAGCTTTAATTTGTTTCTAGCTTATTCTGTTACTTTCTTTCCAGAAAAACATCCAACTTCATAGGCTTTCATAGTCAGTGGGAACGATCCATTTACACTTCTGGAAGGAGAAGATTTTCTTTTTTCTTTTTTTTTTTTTTTTTTTTTTTTTTGGCAGCTGTTGCATTCCACAAATGAACTGATAGCATAGTCTGAAATTTGATATTAAAACTTGCTGGACTTACCCCCCCTGTCTATAAGCTATTACTGTCAGTTTGTCAAATATTAATTATGGAAGAATGGTCCAAAACATCTGTTAATCCTTTAGCAAACAGTAATTGTTATTTTGGTAAAAGCAGTACGTAAACATTTAATTTACCAAACGAGTGAAGGACGTCATTTAATACCAAAAGGATTCATGAATGAGAGGGTATTAGCAGTTCTGTGTAAAGAAACATTGTAACTGAGCTAATATAGTGACAAACCCTTTTTGGAAATGACTGAATGATGCTTCTTTTAATCTTGGAGGATTCTTCCTTGCAAGTAACTCATGGGTGTATACTGGATCGAATCAGTCTGGTTTCCTGGATCTGAATATCTTGACTATCAGGGCTCACTATAGACAAGCAGCAGGTACCAACTCTGAAAGCTCAAGCTTGGAGGCCAAATGAATCCTTGAATATACCATCTTCTTAACATGAAAGGAGTGTGCAGCATCTGGATGCAGATGTTTTATCTCAGAATAGACATGAGAGCAGATTTCTCCAACAAGAAACAGCAGTCTGTTCTCTCTGGTGCCAAGCAGATATTCAGGACGACATCTGTGCTGCCGCTTTGCATTCGCTGTTTTCCCCGCATCAGCGGTGGCTGCAGTCTGGATGAGACCAACAGGCCGCTCGTTGGGGAAAACTCTGAGTGCATAATCCTGAAGTTGGGCCTTGAGCTCGGGTACTGTCAGCGTAGGCAGCACTGCCACAACCTGTTTGGCTTTGGGAACTGGAGTCCTACTTCAAATACAGCATCGATACGGCACTGCAGATACAGGTCTTGCATGTTTAGGCATGGAAGATGAAGAATCCGATAACCTTGAGCTTTGATTATAAAGGTTTTCTCTTTGTTACTTTCCATCTGGTGTAAACAGCTCTGTAGTTCATACAATACTAGTGTATCAGTACCTTACTTTTTTCACATGTAAAATTTTAGTGCTCTTTACCGCTATCAAACCAATCACCAAGGAAAAAAATGGTTGTTAGATGTTTTGGAAGGGGGCATCCTTGCCTTTTAGTTGAAATATCTCTCAAACATCAAGAGTGATCTTTTGGGGGATGTGTAACAATTAACCTTTAAATAATTGTTCTTAATCATCCTTCAATATCTTTATACACCTTTTGATCTAGCAGATTTCATATCACATGAAATAAGTACATATGTACTCTTCTAAGGACTTTTTTTTCCCCCTTGTTGGAGATCCAGAGAGTACTAGCAGTCCTCCTAATGTCATGTTTACAAGACTGCAATGTGAAATTGCCTGTAAAGTGGAATTGGGTATTCCACAGCAGAAACTAAACCTAAATTCTAAAAGGAAAATCAACTCTTCAGCTTTAAATTAACCTCTGGTTTTGTCACTTATTAACTTGAAGTTTTAAAAGCCAGGTAGTGCCTAGCAAAGACTGTAAGATAGTTATTTTGGATTTAAATTAAGGTTTTCTGTTACCTGTTTTGAGTAACAGAATGCCTTAATTTCTGAATTATGTATTTGGTTGATCACACTGTTTGTGTGTGAACTTCCAGTTCTTATGTAGGCTAACTTTTGACTTTACAGGTTAGCCCATGCTCCTGTTAAATTTTCTCTTTCTGTGAAAATTTTGAAAGCCCCATAGCACAATAAAAAGTTGAGTTGGTACCACTGCTAGTAGACTTGCACTAAAAGCTGACAGTATTGGAGTAATAAGCACTTATTTCTTTAACTTTGTATTTTCCAATGAATAGATAGATTCTGTACAGTTGGGAGTCTTGTCTGACAATCCTTAAAATGGTAAGTGCTTATATGTGAAGCTAAAATTAAGTGCTGATAATACTTATTTTTCCTTTGAAATGCCTCTTTAAGCAACATAATGATGTTGTGTGCAACTGATCACTTTAGCTGTCCTTTTAATCAATGAGGACACATTTGAAAAGCACTTTAGTGGGGTTTGTTTTTTTTTTTTTTTCAGAGATTCCAAAGATGACACAGTTTGCATAATCCCCTAGTATGTGGAATTGTACATATTTGTGTTCATTTTGCCTGCTGGGTTTAGTTTAAAATGTCACCTTTGAAAACTATCCTTCAAAAATTATCCTTCTACAAATAGTACTTTGAGAATGCGGTTTTTGGTGATGCCTATAACCGAATGCTGCATAGTGTGACAAGCTAAAAATACTGATGTGAAGGTGCACCCATGTCAAAGTCTGCCAGTATGCAAGATGCTGTTGGAAGTTACGATAAAGACCTGCCTTTCATGCCTTCCAGATGCACTAAAGTTTTCACAGGATGCCATGAAAGTAGCTAAACAATAACATAAAATCAATGAAATGTTTGTGTTTTTTAAAGTGTGTTGCCATCTTTGGTAAACTGTAAGTAAAGTGGTAGCAGATTTGGTTTGTGTTTGTAAATGTATCCTTCCCCTCCCTTTTTTTAGCAGAGGAATCATCTCAAATGCCTTATTGAAAAATGTGTGTTTATACAAGTGGATGGCTATTTCTGAATGCTGCAAACATCTTCATTTCTAAAAAAGGACTTTAGACTTTGCCTCGGTGTAATTTTATTTTTAATAAAGTAATTCCCAAGTAAGTGTTTGACAGCTTTGCATAGTCATTAAAATGAGTTCCACTTGTTGACTAAGCTTCTGGTGTTTGGTCTTTTACACCTTACAAAGAAAGCTTTTGAGCGAGGTGATGTTATAAAATGTTTTGAATGAAGAGTGAAGGAGGTGGGGGGATAATGTGGAATTGGGAAAATACAATGCCAGGCATGCTATGAGCAAATGATAGAAAGAGAATGTCTATTTGTTCTCTCAATGCGTTTTTTAAAACAGTTGTTCAGAATAAGAGGGGGAGAGACAAGAGTGGAGATGAGGAAGATAAAAGGGCAAACGAGTTGCTACCAGGAGGAAACGCACAGCCTGAAGAACGGAGTGGGAAATTAAAACACGGGCAGAGTCAAGGTGTAGTTTTGACTCCTGGCATAGGGGGGTCAGAGAGTTGGAGAGCAGAGAGGGAAGGGGGTGCCTGGGGCGGGGGGCAGAGAGCTGGGGCCTCTGTCCCGGAGGGAGCCCAGGGAGAGGCAGGAGGTGGCTGCGCGCAGAAGGGAGGGCAGAGCAGGACCTAACCGGAGCTTGTGGGGAAGATGTGGGTGCGAGTGCCGGCATGTACGCAGCAGCTGTATGTGGAAATCCCGGGTCTTAACACCCTGGAATCAGGTTGCAGGTAATTTGGCATGGCGCAATTTTTTTAGGGAGTTTGGTTAATTACCTGCTCAGCTGTCATTCGTATACACAAGGAGTCCCCATTTGGGTAAAGCTGTTTGCAGCAGGCTCCTCACTGCTCTGCCGTTCGATGACGCTGAGTGAGGAAAGGGGGAATTTTTTGCATTGCACTTTTGGTACAAAGTGCAGAGATACAAGAATATCCTGCTTCTTTTGCTTGAAGAAAACAAGTTGCTTAATGTTTACCTTGATGCTGACTAAAGTAGAATACACTGTAATTGCTGTGTTGTCTGCTGTTGCTGACTTGAAGGGCCTGTCGTTCTGCTGGTGAAAGAATTAGATGGAAAGTCGTGGCAGTCCGCATCTGATATGGTTCAGCTGTTAGTATTTATAAAGGAAGGATTTGATTTTGAGGGGTTTTACTATATAGTTCGTGCTAGCCTGAAAATAAAATCCCCCTTCTAGTGTGGAAATAATCCTTACTGTGGAGTGCTTCTAATGTTGAGAGAACACGCTGCCGCACCGGAGACGTGAAGGTTTTGAAGGCCACGCAAGTGGCCTCGGTTGCCAAGGGCGGACATCAGACCGGCCTCTGGGCCGGGGGCCAGCCAGGACAGCTGACGGCGTTCTGCCGACCTTGCCCTCGCTACTTGACGCCCCCTGAGGAACCCTCCGTGGCGGAGGTGCGGGACTGCGGGCGGCCGGGCCCGGGGGAGGCCGGGGCGGAGCGCGGCCCTCGCCCCGCCCGGCCCCCGCCACCTCCTCCTGGCTCCGCGCTCCTCCGCCATGGCCTTCGCCACCCGTCGCTTCGTGCGCGCCGCCTCCTCCGCCGCCGCCGCGGTGGCCGCCAAGAAGCTGATCGTCAAGCATGTGACGGTCATCGGCGGCGGCCTGATGGGCGCCGGCATCGCCCAGGTGAGCGCGGCTGGGAGGGCGAGGGGGGCAGGCGGCGGCGCCATGGCGGCTGTTCCTCCGCGGCCTCTCCCCTTCGCTTCTTCCTCGCCCCTCAGGACTTTTCACGCGAAGGGGGAGCCCGGCGCCGGTGCAGCGCTCGGTCCCGCGGCCGAGTGGGAAGGGGAGAGCGCCGGCCGGGGCCGGGGGAGCGGAGCCGCCCGCCGCTCCCGCTCTGTGGGGGAAGCGCCGGGGGCGGTGGCCGGCCCGGCCTCGTCAGCAGCGGCGGGTCGAGCCGCCGCTCGGGTTTTCTCTCCGAGTTGAGAGGCAGGAACCATATCGAAAGAGCAACAGCAAAAAAAAAAAAAAAAAAAAAAAAGCCCCAAACCCAACAACTAAACCGCTTCGGTGAGCGCGTTCTAGTTTGTGTTGGGGCGGCGGGGAGGGGCGAATTTCGGTGCGGTTGCTGCGGGGGAGCAGGCAGCACGGTTGCACCGCTGCCCTCTGGTTGTGCTCAACTTTCCAGCTTTTTGTTCTCTTGCTAAGCCTCAGGTCAGACAGGTAGGTAAAAAGAACCAAGGTCGACGTTTTAAATTTTTTTAAGGTCGTTCTTAAGACAGTGCATTGACTATTTATAATCCAGACCGTGTGTAATAACATATGGAAAACGTTGGTCCAAGAAAGAAGCTTCTTCCAGTTTGCCAAGGGAGATGATCAAGTGACGTTTTACAAGTTAGTAAAGAATACAGCAGCCAAAATGAAAAGTTAGCTGCTGGTCAACTGCAGAATTATGAAGTGGTTAATATTTAAATAGGACCTATTTTCCCAGTGTTTAATCTCAGGCCTTTGGCTTTCAAGTTCATCTTTAACTTTATAGCTTTGGGACAGAAGGATGAATGGTCCTGTCAGTGATTTAAGACTTAGATAATTACTTTATTCACAGAAGGAACCTGCTGCCCAAGATACCAGGGTAGTTCACAAACTTCAGAAAGTAACTGGAGTAGGCAGGCATAGCCAGGCAGAAACTAACAGTCACGTTGGAGTTCGTAAATAGCAATTCTACATTTTAATGAATTAATAGGTTTCCTTCTCAGAACTGAGTATTTATCACATTTCTAGCAAATCTCTGGCAGGAGGAATACAGGAGATCTTTTATTTATTTATTTATTTGTTTGTTTGGCTGAGGAATTAGCCAGTTGTTTATTAACTTGTCTGATAAAAACACTCCTCTGTACCTTGGTACTGGAGCTTGAAGTTTTCAGTGAAGGAGCCGTCAAGAACAACTTTGAATCAAGTTGTTCACTTGCTTGAGGAAGATGTCAACTATGCAAAGGTTATAATTCTCCAGGGAAGATGAATGGGTCTACATATTCTGTTAGACTGCACGTTTTCAGAGACTGGCTGGTTGAGAGAAACATGTCTGGTATTTGGCAGAGACAGGGATTACAGTCTCCTACGGCTGCTAAGGACCAAGGTTTGTTTTGCTGACCATCTGCTTCCGATTTATCAATTCAAAATTATCTCAAAGCAGAGATGATTATAACACTGAGTGGGGTCTCCTCTGTACCCTATTAGTAATAAAGTTTTTCCTCCCTTTTAGAACACTTAAGAAATTATCTCTCCTCTTTCCTTGCTTTTTCGTATTGTCAGGAGAAGCTAAAATGTACGACTGAAAGCCAGGAGTTTATAATTTCTGATTCTGCCACATGAAAAGCACTTCTGTATGAGAAAAGCATTGACTGCTCAGCATTCTTTTGTTTCCTATTTGGTAGTCTTAAGACCATTGGATAGTAGAGTCTGAACAAGTGTGTGTTTGAATTGCAAGGAGATGGTATGACCTTTTGCCATTTTTCCTTTCCTGTCCATGTAAATATGATTAGAATGAGGTGGGGAAGGGGAGAAGTTAATTTTTCTAGGTTTTTTTGTCAACTGGTTAGTGATGGTGTAATCTTAAATCAATAATCTGTGTAGCATCTCTTAAAAATGTGCTTGGTATTGATTTTTCTTCTGAAGAGTGGGAAGTCTTGCTTTACCATTCATTGCAAATGATCAGCGACAGGTGAAGTGTTAGGAGTGCAAGTCCAAGTTTGGTTTAAATGTTTTGGTTTTGTTTTTTTTTTTTACGATTCAGTTGTTTTTATGAAATGGCCACAGGGAAAATAAATAAAAAAAAAAAAATAAAGAAATGTCCAGCTGCAGACTGACACCTTGTTAAAGTTATACTGCTGCTGTCCAGAGGCAGTCTGGCATTTCTTTATTTGCTGGATTAGTGAGGCAACTTGGATGAGAATAGCACCATGCTTTTCTTCAGGAGATACCTTTGTCCTTTTAATTTCAGCTAGCTTTGGAGCAGGTCTTGTAGGCACAGGAGAATCTTTAGTCTCCAGGTAAAAAGGTTAGCTACAAAGCGAAAGTTTGCATCAGGGAAGCGCCTAAGCTGGGTGACTTGAAAAACAGTCAGTGGAACCATGTTTTAACACTTTAATATGTTTAAACTGTTTTCCACAATTATTATATTACAACTCTGTTAGATCAGGAATTCTGAAAATTAAGATAGGCTGTTGCTAACTATCAAGAGAAACATAAATTCTTGAACAGTGAAGTAACAGATAATGAACAGCTGATTTTTAATAGGCAGTTGCAGTGTGAGAAAGTAACACTGTGTGTTTGAAATCAATTGAATACCAACCAAAGAGAGAACCCAACAGTGCTGTCTGTAGCTGAGCCAGTGTTTGTACCAAGTACGTAGTAAGGAGAGTTTGCAGGCCGTTCAGGTCTGTGCAGAGTCCTGGAGTAGCAAACATCTCACTGCTACTCCCAGCTCCAGGGTCACCTCCCTGTTGTTGCAGGGACATGCTTGTGGCCTAACAGCAGAGCTGTGTTACGCTACGTCCTGGGAATCCCTTATGTCACCCACTCACACTGCCAGCATTCCAGTTTTGGTCTCCACAGTCCTTTTTCCTTACAATATCCAAGGCTCACAGCTAAGCTGCTTGCTCTCTTCAAGAGCTGTTTGTTCGCCAGCCATAGCTGCAGAATTCAGGTGCCTCTGGGTGCAGGTAGCGTTCTGCAGATGGCTTAGAGGAAAAATGGATTTCTTTTTCCTTTTCCCCTCAAGTTGTTTGAGACCATTATTGCTTCCCCTCCACCCCAACTGTGTGCAGGTTTTTATGATTTTTCTAGTAAAGTGCGTAAGTCTCAATTCAGTATTCTTTAGCTCTTTTGCCTAATTCATTGCCTAGTGTAAAACAAATCAGTATGGTTGTTTGTGTTACGATACTGATGTTGAATTTTTTTTTAACTTTCAGGTTGCAGCAGCTAGTGGTCACACCGTGGTGTTAGTAGACCAGTCAGATGAAATCCTTAAAAAGTCTACAAAAGGAATCGAAGAGAGTTTGAAGAGAGTGACAAAGAAGAAGTTTGCAGATAAGCCTGAGGTTGACGTCTTTTTCTTTATTACTCTAGGAAAATTTAGGAGAATAAAAACTACTGAACTTCTGGTATTGTTTATAGTTATGCATTATAGAGCATGTTAATATTCTGTCTTTGAAAGAAAACTTCTTCCAGTCTGCTGAAGAACCTGGATTTTCTTCTTTTGATTCAAGGTTGATAGATGCCTTGTCTTAATTTCTTTCCTTTGTAGACTTCAGCCTTGAGATAAAGATTTAAAACAACTTGGTGGCCTTTTAAAACTGATGCTAAATGTGAAATGGGGCCAAATTATTCATCCTGACTTAATAGTAAGCTATCTTTGAATGCTTTCCTGAGAATGCACAATTTTGCCCAAAAGTAAATAGTAACAAAATTGGCTTAACACCTTAGTAAGGAGTCTGTCTTTTTCTCATCCCCCAGACTTGGGCATAGAATTACTGCAAAGGAAGTGAGAGTGCAAGTTTAATTACCCTGGATTAACATGAATTAGATATATAAAATACTTGGCATTTACATTACTGAGTAAAATTTACGTACAGCAAGTCACAGTGGAGCAGTTGATGCATCTAAATTTAAATCCTAAAGGTTATTTGTTGCTCTGCTTGTTTTTCTAAATTCCACAGCAGATTCAATTCTTCTTTTGATACATATTAACATGTATAATCTATACTGGTATTGATTACCAGCATGAATGATGTAGCAGACAAAGGAAATGAAAAAGTGCTTGTTTGCATGAGGAGGTACAGAAGAAAAATTATAGTAATACCAGGATAACCAGAACAAGCATACATAATTGAGGAGTGCTTTAATCCAAAAGAAAATTGTCCACATGATGCTTGTACTTTATATATGACATATTCTGCCTTGCAGGTATGTTTTTACTTGTCCTGTGTCTTCATTTACCTTTGTTTCAAAGTCTTGCAGTTCTGTTTGATTTCTGTCCTCACAAACTATGTCAATGATTGGCAGGTTTACTAGTTAGAAAACAGAATTTTTTGTCCCCACATTTGCACTGAAACTGTAGTGAATGTAGCCCATTTAATTTCCTGAAGTAGTCATGAACAAGCACACACCTATTCATAGGAGTGAAACCAGATAATCACTGAATGAAACAATGCAAAGGTTTGAAACTGGAAAAGTTCTTTGTGGAGGACAAGTCCACGTTGTCTCCAAAACTACTGATTGACCAACCAGTTGTTCACTCACATTCTTATGCTGAAGGTTGGACTGCAGCAAATAGTCTTCATAAAAGAATGAATTCAGAGCTCTCCTATTTGCTTCAAAGCAGATTTGATTGGCTAGGAAATTTTTGTCAGTGAAAGCATCATATCTGTACATACTAGAATGTTCCCGCTGATTTGGAGATGTGGCAGACTGCCTGAATTTTTGAGGGCTCAAAAGCACTTCAGAGCACATAAGGGGGTTTTCATGTAAAATAAATTAAATCATTATAAATAGACATTGCAACTTCTTGGAAATGTTTCAGGCCGGTGCTGAGTTCATTGAGAAGACCTTAAAGAACCTCACAACAAGCACAGATGCAGTAGCAGTGGTCCACAGCACGGATCTGGTGATAGAAGCCATTGTGGAGAACCAGGAAATTAAAAATGAACTCTTCAAGAGGCTGGATAAGTTTGCTCCAGAGTATGTGTATTTTTCCTGTTATATTTTGAAACTTAGACCTTTGTATCTCCTGTTTTTATTCTTACACCATTAGTTCTGCATTTTCTTAGCTGCTTTTTTGGAAAACAGGAGGTTTTCTCCCTTGGCTATCTCCAGACTGTAACGTGGTATGGAAGAGTTGTGCCAGGTGCATATGTTACAGACACTTTCAGGTGTATTCACTGGGTTTATTTACTTGTTACATTGCTTCATTTGATGTGCTTCTGGGTATGTTTACTCATAAAGTTTGTCCATCCACTCAGCTAATTCAAATCTAAATCCAAATGCAAATGTACAACACTAGAATAACCTTGTCCTGGTACATTTGGGGTATGGTTAATGTACATTTGCTCATATTTAAACAGGGAATTGGGATGATAAAATATTTGTTTTCAGTGCATCTGGCATGAACAAGCTTTAAGAAGTCTCAGTCTTGCTGTAAGTCATGGTCAGCTCAACAGTGGCTTAAGTGAGCTAAGTTTACTTTGTATTATATGAATTTGGAAATAGCTCATTGCTGGTTATTGTGTGTGAGGTAAATAATTTCTTAGCATGCACTAACTCGGTTACTTACCGTCCCTGGAACTTTCTTTGAACTATATTTGATAACTGTTGGAAGTTACTGTTCAGTTGTATCCAAACCAAAAAATGTTGTTATGATGAGCATGCAGTCTCAGAAACTTGTTCCTTGTAACAGGTGACTCAGGATCACAAGACCTTGACGGCTTGCAGGTTGAGATTTTAACTAGTACAGCTAAATCTGGGAGTACGGGCTAAGAGGTACTATACACCGTTGTCCTGGTTTGAGTTCAGAGGGCAGCTGAGCACCAGGCAGCTGTTCACTCACTCCTTCCCCTCTCAGGAATGAGAAGGAGAAAATAGAACAAAAGTTTAGGGAATCGGGAGAAGGACAGGGAGGGATGACTCACCCACTATGCTCACGGGCAAAAGGCAGACTCATTAGGGGAAGAATAGGAACATCAATTTAATTTAAACACCACCACCACTTAATTTTTCAGAGTAGGGTAATGAGAATAAAACCAAATCTTAAAAACACCTTCCCCCACCCCTCCCTTCTTCCCGGGCTCAGTTTTGCTCACAGTTTCTCTATCTCCTCCCCACAGAGGGTAGGGAATGGGGGTTGAAGTCAGTCCATCACTCATTGTTTCTGCTGCTCCTTCCTCCTCAGGGGTAGGACTCACGCCCTTCCCCTGCTCCAGCATGAGGTCCCTCTCACAGGATACAGTCCTCCACAAACCTTCTCTGGACTGAGTCCTTCCCATGGGCTGCAGCTCTTCATGAAGTTCTCCAGCCTGGGTCCCTCCTGCATGTTTCAGTCCTCCCAGCAACAAATTGCTACGGTGTGGGCTTCCCCCAGAGTCCCAGCTTTCTTCAGGCACAGACACCTGATCCATGCGGGGTCCTCCATGGGCTGCGGGTGGGCATCTGCTCCACCGGTGACCTCCATGGGCTGCGGGTGGGCATCTGCTCCACCGGTGACCTCCATGGGCTGCGGGTGGGCATCTGCTCCACCGGTGACCCCCACGGCTGTAGGGGCACTGCCTGCCCTCTCACCATGGGCAGCAGGGGGGTCTCTGCTCCAGCACACCTCCCCCTCCTCCTCCTTTCTTCCACTGACCTTAGTGCTTGCACAGATATCTCCCTCACAACTCCAACTCCTCCTCCCAGGTTCCCCTTCTTAAATGTGTTACCAGAGCGGCACAGCCACTGTTGCTAATTACCTCAGCCTTGACCAGAGCCTGGGGGAGCTTCAAGAAGCTTCTCACAGGGGACCACGACCGTAGTCCCCCTGCCACTCACACAAACCCAACACAACTGTCTACCTAAAGAATTAGGCAAGCTGTGGCTCAAATACAATGTCGAGGGAGAATATATGGTATCATTAGTTGATTTCAGCCTGGGGAGATTTTCAGGCGGTCTCATACGGTCAGTAACCAAAATTATCCAGTACCTCTGAAAACAATGAATGATTACAAATAGCCATGCACTGAGCACAGTGTAACTTGCAATTACCCTTAGTCTGACAGACTAAAGAAAGTAGCTGCCCTCAGCAATTATCAGGGTACCTTGTCATGATTAGATAGTGCTTATTTTGTGAAAACATACCGTTGGTTGCCTAAATCTGTGTCCATATTCAGCAGAGAAAGGTAACGGGCAAGTTAGAGTGTACTAAATAGCAAACTGTCTAGAACCAGTCAGCAAGGAAAAGTGGACACAGGGATTTGGAGTCTCATTTAACAATACATGTATGTGGAAGACTGAGGCTATTTTTCATAAGACTGAACTGTTTATAAGCATAGCTGCCTTGAAACATCAAATTTTACATTGCAGTGTTAAAAGATACTGGGAGCTGTTTGGATATGCTCCTTCCTGTGGCAGAAGGCATAAATGACATTAGACAGGAAGCCTTCCTTTTTAAGAAGAGGATTGGAAATTATGATAAACTTACAAATATCTTACATGTCGGATAAAGAAAAGGGAAGTAAATGGTGAAGAATATGAGTGGCAATGTAGAAAGCCTAGATTAAGAGAAAGAAAAGCTAGTAAAACAGTGAAACTTGGTAGCCAAGTGTTTGAAATATTAGCTATTAGATACAAAGGGTAAATGAAAGGCAGGGTTTAGTCTCTAATTTAGTTTCTGATTTTTGTGGTTTGAAGAAAAAGCTATTTCTGTAAGTTTTTGGTGTGATGTCAGGATAGCAGGGCTATAGAGATTCTGAGATATTTCTGGAAACAAAACAAAGCATTATAAATTGCAATTAGTAAATCTGGTTTATATCTGGAAAAAAAGACTTCATATATGTCTTAAAATTCTTGTGATTTTGTACATCCTTTGCCGTCTTCTATGTATGGCAGTTTTTATCTTTTCTCTGTTTTTTTCCATCAGCTCTTTCCCTGATGATAGGTTTGCTCATCATGTGTACCACTGATCATTATAGAAAAAAAAAAAAAGATTCCAAATTTTCCTTAAGGCTCCAAAGCGCATTTTTGACATGGCAAATGATTGGGTTTCCATGGATGTGTAAATGACTAAAAATAAAAAAAATATCATTAGGTTTCCAGGATTGCTGAAGAAATAGTTCCCCAGGAGTTGACAAAAAGTTTATACTTACAGTGTTCTTTCCTGTCACCTAATATAAGTATTCAGTGTACTTACTCGAGAGTCAGAAGCTCACACAGCCCTTGCAGTGGTTATTTCATCGTTGCTGAACTTACACCTCAGCAAAAGGACAGTGATAATCTGCAGGGATGTTTCAGAGAATTCTGTGGATGGCTAGCCAATGGATGTCTATTTATGTCTAGTGCACCAACCTCCTACTGTCAGAAAAATAGCTGTCATTTATGTAATCCATATGTTTCTTTTTTCCAGGCATACGATATTTGCAAGCAACACTTCATCCCTGCAAATCACCCAGTTGGCTAACTCAACCACCAGGCAGGACCGATTTGGGGGTCTCCATTTCTTCAATCCTGTGCCTATGATGAAGCTGGTGGAGGTAGGTGTCTTGTAGCATCATCATAATAACGACTGTAGCACAGCAATGCAGTTGTCATCACTGAGAATTCAGCTAGATGAAAGAGTAGATCTGGGTTTGCAGCTCTTCTGATAGGGAATAAGCTACCTCTAGTGATAAGAGGATGATGCAGCCTCTCTTGAGGAGCAGATTGAAGAGACTCTTTCAGTCTTGAGGCTCTGAAGTTCTCCACTGAACTGCCAATGGAGGTGCCATTTATAGTGATCGTTTCAGGCATGCAGGCAAGCTAATTAATGAGAACTTAGACCTGCTCAAGTGGGGCCAGAGGAGAACCACAAAGATGCTCAGGGGGCTGGAGCAGCTCCCCTATGGGGAGAGGCTGTGAGAGTTGGGGGGGTTCAGCCTGCAGAAGAGAAGGCTTCGGGGAGATTTTCAAGCAGCCTCCCAGTGCTTAAAGCGGGTACAGGAAAGATGAGGAGCAACTCTGTCAGGGAGAGTAGGGATAGGATGAGGGGTAAGAGTTTCAAACTGAAAGAGGGGAGATTCATATTAGACATAAGGAAGACATTTTTTTACAGTGAGGCTGGTGAAACACTGGACCAGGTTTCCCAGAGAAGTGGTAGATGCCCCCTCCCTGGAAGGGTCCAAGGCCAGGTTGGACGGGGCTTTGGGAAACCTGGTCTAGTGGAAGGTGTCCCTGCCCGTGGCAGGGCAGTTGGAACTAGATGATCTTTAAGGTCCCTTCCATCCCAAGCCATTCTGTGATTCTGTGAACTACTGGCAGCTTAAACAAAATCATCCGATGACTGACAGAGGAGTTTGATTGTTACCAGTATAGAAATCAATAGAAAATGACTTGAGATGAAATCTTACTGCCTTGTGACTTTTGAAACAATGTTTCAGTGTTCCAGATGATTTGTCTGGAAGTATTACAATATTTCTCAGACTTTAAGGAAGTGTAAAAAGAGGTTTTTAGATAACTCTTCAGACGCCTTTTCTAAACATACTCTCTTTGGCTGCATCATACAATTTCTAATAATACTGCAGTGCAGAGCAGAATAAGAAATAATCTAAAAGTTCATCTGAGCCTCCAAAGTAAAGGTCGCATTGCAGAAGAAAACGACAGGTCTGTCTTCTCCTTTTCTCACCTTCTCCTGTTATAGGTGACCTTGATCAGCTGGAACTTACAAACTCTTGAGTTAGTGAAAATAAACTTGGGATTTTGGCCACTCTGCCCCAAAGTTTCATGTACATCGTGCCCTTAAATGCTGTAAATCCTTTTCCTCTGTCCCACGAGTGATTAATTCTAGTACTGCTTTGGTGACAAGCACTTCATGTATGTTTTGCCTGCCTTTTGAACTCCTGAGATTCATTTGATTGTATTTTTTGCCGTTGCCCATTAAAATACATATTCTGTAGTTGCTTGTCCTGTGTCTTTGAACGTTTCATTCTCTTCCTCCCACTTTTGAAATGTTTGAACCTTTTGGCTGAAATGAACAAATTTGATTCAGAGTATGGCTGTCTGATGAGGGCTTGGACACTTGAAAATTCTCTCACTAACTTCTGTACTCATGTGGATTTTTTTTTTTTTTTTTTTTAGTTTAATATTACATCCTCTATATTGTGACTAAATGCTCTGGGGAAATGTTGTAAGAAGAAGGGGGAGGAATTTTATAGGTGTTGTCAGAGGTAACAGAAATCTTTTGCATAGCTCCTTAGGCTAACATAGTCTTTATTGATTTCTGTGCTAAGAACTAATTGTTGGCAGTAACTTACTTCCATGGATGAAACATTCTATGCCTTGTCTCAAGCCTCAAACAAATCAGTCTTTAGAAATCTAAACTAAGCCTCTGTGAGATTTGAAAAATATGGATGATGTTGTTTGTGAAAAAACAAAAAGCAATCCCTGTCTGACTGCTGTGGACAATCTTTATAATTTGGGGTTTCTTTTCACCTAACTTGTGAATGTCCTGCCCTGGAGTCGCCCCAGTTGATGAGTAGTATTTGAAGAACTTTAAAACACAAAATCTGTGCTTTTAGTGGCTTAAACTTGAAAGGTACCAATATTAGTAAATAAATACTTTTTAAAGCTTCGCTTTTGTTTCGGATCTACTGCTGTAAATCAGGATTGGCATTGACAAACACTGTATAACAACATTTTCTATGTGAAACAGATGTTTCAGTTTTAAATAATTGGGGGAAGATAAAGAGAATCACCAAAACTATGAATGATATTGCTGAAATTGCCAGTCATCTGGCATGGAGGCTGTCCTTCATGGGTCACAGATCTGCAGTGCCTTTGAGCCTTATCTGCTCTTTTCATAGATTGTTGATCTCATGCTCAGAAGCACATAGCTTTGAGGGGATTTCTTTCTCTAATAATCCAAAAGGCTAGTGCTAGTGTTTCGAAATTCTGAAGTGTATATTAAAAACTCACTCTTGAAGCTGTTGGAGTCTTATGTAAGTATCTCAGGTATTTTTTATCTAATATCACAGTAAAAGAACACTATTTTTTCTGCTGAGAAACAAGCTTTTTCCTTAGTCCTAACTGTTTTGGTTTGGTTTGGTTTTTTGGTTTGGTTTGGTTTGTTTTTTTGTTTAGTTTTGTTTTGTTTTTTTTTTTTTATGTTGACCTTATGTTAGTCATTAAGATGGGGGAGATCTCTGTATGACTTAATGGTGTGAACAAGGAGGTCAGCCCGAACTACTTATATATAGCAGTTTTCAGTTACTGCATGTGGAGGTCAGTTTCGAACCAGATATCACAACCCCTTCAGCTTCTGCAAATCTTTTTTTTTTTCTTACTTTCTTTTGGGAGAGAGGGGCAGGGAGAGGGGAGCAGCGGGGTTAGAGTGGGATAGTTCTCTAATAAATCATGCGTCCCAGCTCCAGTGAAGTATACAAAATACTGCATGTGACAAAAGACTCAGTTGTGAAGAAAATCAACATGGAAATGTACTACTCAAAAGCTAAGAGTTTGTCACAAATTTGAAAGATAAATTTTGCTTTTTTTTTTTTTTTCAGAATGAAATGTCTGTGTTGTATTTATGTTGAGCACACAGTAGATGTTGCAACTGTTTATATCAGGAACTATGTTTATTAGTATGGTTCTCTAGAGTGATGCCATCATGTTTCCCAAGGCAACAGAGACTATGTAGCTTTTCAAGTTGTTTTGTTATACTGTAATCTCTAAATGTGGTTCCGAAGGATAGTCCCTTTTACCATCCCTACCGGCTGTGTGGGGGAGAGTGTTAAAGAAACATACTTTCAAAATGTGCAAAATATTGTATCTATCTTTAAAATAGATTTCTGTGTCTGTTACATATATACCCACTGAAATTGTTTTTTGCAAAACAAAGGTTTTGTGAATTTCCGGAATGGTGTTCTGTATTACAGTTTAATCATTGCTGTACTGGGAAATGAGAGAGATTCTTCTCATAAATGTTCTTATGCTCACCTTACCTTCCCTCTGCCTAGGTCATCAAGACTCCAATGACCAGCCAAAAGACCTTTGAATCGCTTGTGGATTTCAGTAAAGCAGTAGGCAAGAGTCCTGTCAGTTGTAAGGTGAGTACCTTCTGATTATCTAGTGTTCAGAAGGTCTGTTCTTGAAAACTGATAATTTTAAGGTGGTAGGTTTTAGTAGACGTAAGAGCAGTTTAAGAATTTACAGGCTGGTTTTTGTCCCATTTTTCTTCCCTACTAAAAGCATTGACAAAGAAAACACCCACATTTACCACAAATTCCTCAAAGTAGAATTATTCTAGACATCTTGTCTAGAGCAGCAAAACTCACAAGTATCAGGGTTTACAGTTTTTGTTTTGGTTTTGTTTTGGTTTTTTCTTTTCCAGTTCTGCAGAAGTCTGGACTGGAGAGCTTAAGCAGGAGCTCATCTTTAGCTATGCTAGAGACAAGGCTGCTACCTTTTGTACTGAGGCAGCTGGATGAATCCTCCATGGTGTGTGCTCATTGCAAGTTTTTCTTAAGACTGCAATAACTAGACCCACATTAATCTTCATTGCTTTGCAGCTTTGTTTTTTTTTTTCTCTAGAGGAACACCCTACTTCCTAAGCACACTTTTTCCAAATCCATGAAGCTGTGGTCTGGGTAGCTTTTTACTAGCTATTGCATTGAGTTTCACAGCCCCCAGGAGACATTTGTTCATAAAAAGAAGGGCCTGCAGTCTGGTAGTTACCAGTATTTCAGCATCTGGATGCTGGGCTCTAATTCCGGCTGTACTGCTAAATTGCTCTGTGGCCTTAGTTGACTTTTTTGGCTGTTTCTGTCACAGTTTTGTAGTATGTAATGTGCAGAATATATGATGAATTATTGTTACATATTATCTTGAGTAGAGGGTGATGCAGTCTCCATGACTGAACCTTTTTTTTTTTTTTTCCCCTTTTTTAAAATTCCTGTTCATAGAAGAAAAGTTGCTTGGAATTCTCTGGATTAGGTATTGAGATAAAATGGAATGAACAATAAACATCTGAAACAGTAGTAGTATGCAAAATAATACTGTATTTGCAAAGCTCTTTTTGTTATCTTTTTCAGTTTGTTATCTTCTTCTGACAGCATGTATCTTATCTTTTCACTGATAGCATTGGTGTTTGCTGTTGAAGTCATTCTAACTTTCAAAAGCATGGTTTACCAGTGAGCAGTGGGGGAAAAGTGTATTATTTAGCCAGGAGTTTTTCTAGTAATGAACACACAAAAAAAAAAACCTGCTAGGAAAGAACTGCTGCTCTTGTGGCCTTCAGGAAATTGTATCAGCAGAATTTTGCTAAAGACAAGACATTTGCCAACTGGCCGCATTAAATTGTTTTAAGATTGAGTTGGGCTTGTAGTAGCCTTATTGTTCTCAGTCAAGATGAATGTTTATGTGCCATTCCTAGTTTGTGAAATTCATCTTGTGTGTTTTAATACTGAGCAGATAGATCAGATGAAAAATACAGTTTAGAGAGTACCAGAAGTTGATGGGTCAGGCAGTGTCTTCATACACTTGTTTAATTTGTTATGTAACGTTTGAGTGTAGTACTGGTAAAGAATGTTTATTTAGAATCCCTTTTTTTCTTTTCATAGGATACTCCAGGGTTTATTGTAAACCGTCTCTTGGTGCCATATATGATGGAAGCTGTTCGGCTTTTTGAGAGAGGTACTTGTTGACTTTAGGGAATGTTGACATATAACACTTCTAAATGTTATATTCCTTTAGAAAAGCCTTGGGATTTCCTCAAAACTTTCTGATCCTAAAGACTGGAAGGGAATAGTGAACATCAAACGTGTAGTTGGAAAGACCTTGTCTTCACTTTGAAATGTCAGTATATGAGTCGGAAGGTACTAGTCACTTGAATGGGAGATTTCTGGTGGTGGGAAAAGGTTTCTGGTTTGGAGGACGAGAGTGTAGTGCCATTGTAAAAATATCCTCTGTCAACTCAGGAACATCCCTTTCTCCATCCCAAGAGATGTTAATGAAAGTGGTTGAAAATCCCATAATGAGACCATTAGCAAAGTTCTCTGAGTTCACTCATATTGGCCTTGTGAAATAAAACACCAATTTTCAGGTGAGGTAAGTAGTATAACATTCAGGGTCACACTATGGTACTGACACACACGTGATTTGGGCTCAATTATTGCCCCATAAAACCTCCTGTTCATCTTTTATGTCCTTTTTTAGACATAGGTTCTTAAGGAACTACCATCTCACTGCTGGTCTCTTACATTAATACTGAGGGTGTGTAGAAATAATCACAAATCCCCAGAGAACCACTAAATTTTTCAAAGCATCGATAATTGTTTTGGAAAGGAAATGAGCCAATAATGTAGTGGATAAAGAGGAAATTATGGAGTATAATTGCTTTTATTTCAAGTACTCTGCTCATAGCTCTGTACCACTAAGAATGTCATTTGAAACATTTTGATTTTGAAATCCCTGCTTTTTTATAGATAAAAGCACTCCATTACTGGGATTCCACTGAATATGCTTCAAATATTAAAAGTCTCTTTTATAGCACATGGAAGGGCTGGTTTGATCTCCAGGAAAAAAAAATATAAACCAACACTACTTGTTTATCCATCAACAGATGTACCTAATTACATCTCAAAGGGAGAAAAGAGGAAATTTAGTGACTTGAAAGGCAAAGGCATGGATGCGAAGGGGCATTATTCTCTTAGAATAAGTCACAATTTCAAATAAAGTGTATGGGTGTTCCAGCGTGTGTAAAAGAGGTGCCTTTGTTAAGTGACATGTATCATCACGCATATTTCAGGAGACAATAGAACTTTTAATTAAATCTAGCAGAAAACAGTCACTGAGATTGTATGTTAAAGTTGACTGTTTTCTGCCTAAGCAAAGCTATTTTGAATTAATCTTTATTCTGTTTGTGTTTTGTTCAACAGTATGATATTTCCAAACTTGTTGAAGTTCATTTATGAATTTTTTAACTCTAATGAAATCTATTTTAAAAGCTGGCTAATGTTTTGAAAAGCCTGATGGCTGTCTTCTAATTCATATTTTCTATTGAATCAGGTTAAATTTTTATCATATTCTTTGCGTTAATTCTCAGAGTAGACACTTGAGCCAGATTGTCATCCACATTAGAATGAAATTGGGTCTCCTTCCTGGCAACCCCCGGCACTGCAATATCATTTTATTGGGTCAGTCAGTCCTTGAGTCTTTGTTTATGCAAGATCTCCTTGGGTTAAATGTGCACTTTTGCATAGACAAAATACCTTTAGTATATTCACAGTGAATTAAACAGGAGGCATATTATACATATTACTGTATGGTGGTCTGTACTGCCCTATTCTTAGTGGAAAACCAAAAAAGCAGTCAGTCAAGTTTCTATGAAAGTCTGCTTTATACTAGGAGACTAGTATGAACTAGAGCTACAACCCTTGTTTGTCCTTCTGCTATTTTTCATTGTATTGTAACACAACTGTATGCTGTCAGGTGGCCAAGTCCCAAGTTTGACAAAGTGGGATGAGTCTGTTGCTAAAGGAAGTGTGTGCCTCTGCATCAACTTCAAATGAGCTGAGGATTTATGTTGGTTTAATTTGGGGAACAAATTATGTTGCAATTAAGCTAATTTTCCCATTTTCTCAGACATAAAATGTGATTTAAAAAAAAAAAAAAACAGTCAGCTTTAAAGAGTAAAAGGAGATCTATAAAGATTATTCATATAGAACTTTCAGTGAAGTTGTTGCCTTTACAAGAGATTTTGAAAATTTATTTCTAAGATTCTCTGACCTTAGGTATATAAATTGCACAGGCTGTTTCTGACAAGCTTTTGGACACTCTGGATGTGTGTACACATCAAGCATGGAGATTGCTTAACAAGTACCCCTGGGGTTTGTTTAACTTCATCCTTTTTGTAGGATGTGCAAAGAAGTGCACTGCCTTTATCAAAACATGTATTAGAAATAAGCAGTAGAGGTGCATCTGCTTTCATTAGAGTAGAAAATATGTGTTTGCAGCAAAAGAATGAGGTGAATAGTAACTGTGATGATTTGGCAATGCAGGACTGGTATTTTTGTAGGCAAAGACTGAAGTAGAAGTAACAGAGTTCTGATTTTTCTTCTATTTTTTAAATTTCTTTTACGTGACATTGGAATTCACAAATCTAAGGACACCTGCACAGTCTCTTTAGGTGACCTCTCTCTGCAATCTCTGGTGCTGATGAATATCCTCTGGTGAAAGTTGCTGTAACTGAGCTTGTTACTCAGCTGCTGCTGTTCCCCTCCTCATGCCTGCCTTGTCCAGGTGGTGGAGAGTTGGGGAAGCTCTGTCAAGCTCTTGACTCTTCAGAGTGACCGATCCTTCCTCCAGCCTTTCTGCTAGGTTGAGCACAGTACCTGTGCCTTCATCAATAGCACAGTGATCTATAGTGAAATGCAAGAGGAAAATAGAAAAATGGAAAGCAGGCCTGCAGGTTGTTTGGGTTTTTGATCAGTTTGTGTGTGTGTGAGAGAGAGATTCAGCTTTAGTGTGTGTCTGCTGACTCCAGTTTTTGTGGTTCTGAAACATGCAGAGATTTCTGTGAAGAGCTGCACCAGAGTGAAATAACACTCTGTTAATTATTTATAAGTGACGCCAAGTAGATGCGGAATCTTCTCTGTTCATCAAACTGTCAATCTTTTCTCTAGGAGATGCATCAAAGGAAGATATTGATGTTGCTATGAAGCTTGGGGCTGGCTATCCCATGGGTCCATTTGAACTGCTGGACTATGTTGGGTTGGATACCAGTAAATACATTATAGATGGTACTGCATGTTTTTTTTCTTCTTTTTTTTTCCCCTTTTTAGCTAAATTGTAGATGAATTTTCTAATTAAAATCTACTCTTAATTAGTTTAAATTGAATGTTTACGGCATAGGCTTTTAACTGTTGATGAGAAAGGAATGAGAATTCCGCTCAGAATGCTGTATGGGTACAACATTTGTACTGTGTTCTTGTATCTCGTGTACATGGGGACGGAACAGTGGTGGATTTCCTGACTTCATCAAGTTCTAGAGGGAAGTTCCAGTGGAACTTCATATAACTAAAAAGAATCACTGGAAAGAGAGACAGGTACTGAAGGTAAGAAATGGATGAAAAGCAAGAAATGTTGAGGCTCCCTATCCTTTTTCTGCCAGCCATGTTTTCATTATCAATTAATAGGAAACCTAATATATACCTTAAAAGATGCTAATATGCCATCTGCCTTTCATGTCAGTTGATAAGTGGATGAATGGCAGTACAGTAACAAAAAAAAGACGTAACTGGTGGCAGCTTGTGAATGGTTGTTGTATTATTTTGAGTGAGCAGCTTAAATGTTCTCCAAGATAGAATGTCACTTTCAAAATGGCATCTTCAATGAAACCACTTTTGCTTTTAGCCAATACTGTGGAGTAGTGTTACATTATTCTAACTGTCTTCCACAGGTAAAAATTCAACTTGGAATTTCTTTCCACTTGAATTTCTTTCCAGCACAGCCTTTGTCTTGTTTCCTTGTACTTAACTATAAGTCAAAAGTTCTCTTTATTTTTTTTTAAATATTAAAAATCCTCAGTCATGGAGGTTATCAAGTGTTCAGAGTAGACTACGCCTAGAGACTAATTGCTAGATTTGCTCATAATCATCAATACTGATCTGTCCTTAATGAAGCTGGATTGAAGGGTCTCAGAGAGTCTAGAGTAAGTTTCAGATCTCCTTCAGTTTTCCGACCTGTTAATATTTTTCTAGGGAGATGCAGATCTCTCTTATCTTTGCATATAAACAGAACTGTTACTAATTCATCTACTTCTTCTCTTCCACCAGGATGGCATTCGTTAGAACCCAACAATCCTCTTTTTTCACCCAGCCCACTCCTGAATAAACTGGTAGAAGAAAAGAAGCTGGGTAAGAAGACCGGAGAAGGATTTTACAAATACAAATGAACTCTAAACTTCAAGAGGTGTTAAACTATCCATGTATGCTATTCAGCATTGCCATTTTACAGGTGAATTCTGTTTAAACCTTCCCAAAGATGGCAGAAGCTGCATTTAGAACATAACCCACCTCTGAACTGAGTGATTGCACTTGTTAACTGTTTCTCTGGTGAAAGCTTGATTTGGTAGATCATTATTTTCTTGTAATTCTGAAGAGCTTTATATGTACAGTGCCTTCATGCAAATGTTGCTTTTTCAGGTGCAGGACAGAATGGCAAGTGAATTTATGTATTTGAAACATTGTTGTATTAATGGGAAAAATCCTAAAAATTACCACACTTTCTTAAAAATAAAATTTTCAACAATTCTGTATCGAGTGTCTTGGCTTGCAGTTGATGTACTTGGTTGTAGTCCACTGGGTGGCAGTCTCTTTTCACTCTGACAAATGTAGCAACAGAAAGGCAGTAAGTTGTTTTTAGGATTTTTCTTAAGTGCCGTGCTAACCTGTAAATGTAAATCACAGTGCCTTGAACAATAATTTTTTGAAGGCCCTGTTGTTTAAAAGAAAAAATATCCTGCAATGGCAGGCTGTCATCTGAGCAGAAGGTTCCCAATACAGCATTTAAAAGCAGAACTGATGTTTTGTGTTGGGATTTTCTGGCATTTTCAGTTACTGGTTGAGGGTCTCCTTTTGCTGGCTACTATAGAAACATAATGAAGAGGTGGTTTCTATTCTGAAGGGCCTAATACATTGATTTGGTTTTTATTAATGAAGCTAGGAAGCTGGCGAAAGCTTCCGTATGCTTCCTAGAGTCCTGTAAATTGGCTCTATTTACTGGCTATTAATTTTAAGTGTCATTTTTACACCCTATGCTACTACTGTAGTTGACTGCTTTGGGGGATTGAAATTGCTGTGTAAACAAATCAGTGTGTCTGGCTGTGTGAGGCACCTTCTGTTTTGTAACTAATTCCTTGGGGCTTAGCAGAGCCTGGATTTGTTCCTGGCGGGAGCACTGCAAATCCTGCCTTTTCTCCAAATACTGCAGAGGAAATGGGCATGAAGGTTGGAGTTCCAGTTCAGCTGAGTAGTAGCCTTCTTTTACTTTGTGTATTTTGGATTTGAAAACTGAGTGCTCATATATATATTTTAATTAAAGAACTTACAAATGATTATTTAAGTCCCCTCTTCCTCCCTCCCTCAGCATTTAATTCAGATTGCATATAAAGACACTGAGGCTGACAGATGTTAATTTCCTTGCACACTATCACAGAAGAAATCTCTGAATAGAGAATAAAACTTGTTGGTTTATCGGATCCTGGTTCCTAATTACAGATCTTCTGATTTTGAGTCACTTCTTGTCTTGACAGAAGAGGATTAAAGGAAGGAAATGGCCCTGTAGACAGTCTCTTTCTCTCACTAATGTACTGTTGAATTGAGTTGGTTTTCCTAAAATGTAGTCCACTTCTTGCATCAGAGTCTGTTTTACTTGAAGATTGTTAGTGCCTGTAATTCAGTTTAGTGACTTTTAAACGCTGCAGGGTAAAGTTAGCTTCAGATCTCCTGTTTTCAGTAGTAATTAAACATGGGAATGTGTATTTACTTTTGTGCCTTAAAAAATGCTATTTGTTTTTTATAAAAACTTTTATTCAGAATTAACTGGATACTGCTCCCTTTACTCAGAAGATCATCTTTATTTTTCATTTGGAAATGCTTAGGTTTATAGCAAGGCATAGGCTATTTAATATTAAATGTGTAAAATACTTTTCACTATTAAATGTGATATTTTAGAAAAACAAACTTTCTCTAAAACAGTGTTTTCCTTTCAGGAGCTCTACCAGGTACAGTATGTATATATGTAATACATACAAGAAACCTGAAAGACACATTTGTTAGTTTGGCTTGCAATTTGAGAAGAGACTTCTTTTTCTCAGTAGCAAATAGGCCACGTGGTGGTACTTTACTGGTAGGTGGGGATGGTTGATTTTATCAGCATGTGGAGCACTGTGCCAGAATGAGCAGAGATGAGGAAAGGGGCCAAAACTTAAAAATACTCGCCCTTAACTCTAGTTCAGAATGTGTAGTGGTAATTGAATGACTGAGGCCATTGAGTCAAGGTAAGCCTTTTCTTTTGCTCCTTGGTGAGGAGGCGTGGTGGGTGTAGAAGTCCCTTCTTGGGTTCAAGATCATGACGAAATTGGTCAGAAGTAGGCTATTAAATAGTTGCTTCTGATTTGTCCAAGAATTTCTGCAGCTTGACAGTTTAAAGATATCTAGGAGGCTTGGAGAATGAGTAATGAAATAAAGGAATTTTCTGTCTCCATCTTGCCCTCAATAAAGATTATTTCCCAGCCCTTGATATGCCTGTGACATGATGCGGAGGTACATGAGCCACCTTCCACTGCATATAGTGTTGATGTTTGAAGGGGAATCTCTTGATAGTCAGTACCTCAGACTAGGACATGGTCCTGAATTTTTATTAATAGGGGAAAAGAGATTGTGGAAGAAAAATGAGGGATAGAATAAGAAGGAGGAAGGGTCTTTGGTTTCACTGACTGCCTACTTTGAAAACCTTTAGTCTTTGTTATCCGTTCTGTCGGCAGGCCTCACAGATTTAGAGCATTTGCCCCACTTTGGTCAAAGCTTTGAGATGTGCGCTTGGCACAGCTTGAGGGCAGCTTGACAGCCAACAGCTGAGGAGTCGGACGTGAGCCCAGCTACTGCAGCTGGGAAGATGGGCTCCGGATTCAGCATCTGGCTCATTTCAGCTGCCAGACGTGCTCCTTCTATGGCCATCCTCGCTGCTTGCGCGGCTGGGGAGAAGACAGGAGCACAGCAGACTTTACAGAGGGAGTTGAAAGCAGAGTCTTAATTGGACTGGAGGAAGATTCTCTGCATGAGTGGCTTATGGAGTATAAAGTGCAAGAGGCGGCAATAAAGTTTGATCCAAAGAGGAATTAAGTGTGTAGAAGTCAAAATTTGGCTTTGCTCTAACAAATGAAATATTCTCCGTTAATGGCACTGGGCACAATAATACTTGTATGTGGGTTAGTAGTAACAGCTGCCTGTTGAGTGCAGATGTCCTGAAGTTCTAAATCTGCATCTGTGTTTGCAATTGAGCTTTTCCAGTATATTACAGTAGGAGTTTAAATTAGAGTACCTGCCTTGAAGTGAATAGCCCATCTCTGTCCAGGTGGGAGTTTTGTGAACCTATGCCTTATTTTACACAGTATGAAGAAGGGCTGACTGAGAAACTGCATAAGACAACTTGAAAAAATATCTTTTTTTCTATCTTAGACAAGTTGCATTTTTCCCCAAAAAACATCTGACCCAAGGGGTTTCAAGTGACAAGAGAAAAAAAAACCTATTGTCCTTCAAAAACCAGCCTTTATAAATGGCAAGCTATTGACAAGACAGGAGTTAGCTCCAGCATCTAGCATGGGGTCTTCAAAGCCACAAGATCCAGAACTGCCAGCCCAGCACTCCAGCAGTGAATCCAGGCCCCTGAAATCCATGGTAGTGGCTTCCAAATGAGATTCAGAGTTTGTTTTGGGTTTGTTTTCTTAATGCCATATCTGGTGGTTCTTCTTGTCCCAATATTTGTCCTGGCGATAAGACTCTTATCACACTTTCAGGTATCTGTGAAACTTTTGAGGTTTGACAATTGATCTCTTCTGTAGATCCACTTACTATGAAGTAGTGAATGTTTATCAGGCTGGAGAAGAAAGAAATAAGAAAGTTGCTGTATAAAGTGAAGTGTAGCAAGATGTGATTGTCTGGTTAAATCTCTACTTGTTATTAGAAAGAGAAGAGCATCTGAAAAAGAGTTATTTCCAGTTTGCTCTCATAAAAGGTTGTTTTGATGTGAAAAGGTCTTGTGTGTTCTTGACTTTGGGCCAGGCTTTGGTCTGTAAAGGCTGCAAATGAGTTAGGTGTACGCTAACTCAATGTAGCATGTTCCCATGGTCAGAGAGGTCGCTGCTAGAGGATGTAGGCACTAGCCAACGATCTCTTGCAGTGCAGTGTGGAGGTCTGAGATCCCTGAGGACGGTGTTGTTTGGGTGTGTGCTGTGTAGTAGCATAAAGGTGATGGGATTGCATTGTTCCTTAGGGTGGGGGCAAAGTATGATCAGCCATGAGAAAGCACGTGCTGTTTTTGCTGCTGCTTTGGGAAAGCACTTCTGACTTCTTTTATTTGATGAAAAATTCTTCTCGTTACAGAGAGATTGGAGAACTTGTGTGAAACTGCAAATGCTTGCTGTTCTCGAGTGAATTCTTTGTGTAAGCACCCATTGTGTAGCATCATGAGATACAAAATATTTTCCATGTCTCAGAGTACGTGTCCATTTTGATAGATATATAGCTGATGGTTATTGCAAATGCTCATAATTTTTATTAAGCTATCAACACGTAATTGCCAAAGTTTAATGCATGCTTGTTATTCTTACATCTAGAGAAAGCCACTTTACAGTACCAAGTGGATTTAAAGACGTGGGCAAACCAGAAGCAGTTTTTGTAGTTTGTAGTGACCAACTTTGCCTAAAGATTTACTGCTGACAGTTTTGGAGTTAATTTTTTCAAGAGAGTCAGTAGTCTCGCACCTGTAGCTATGGTGCTATGTTCTTACTTTTCTAACTAGTACTAGAGCAGTGACCCACATCTCAATATTTTTATTCACTACAGTTTGCAACCACATGAGCAATTATAAAACTGACCTGAATGATGCCTATTTCCCTGTGCTTTTGGGAAGAGCTGAGACCAGGAACAAAAGCAGATGCTATGATTCTTTTGCAAGCTAGAACTTTTCATGTTATATGTTCCTTCAGTAGCTTTTCCTTTTGCCTATAACCAGAGGGAAGTGCTTCTGCTGAATTCTGTTAGAGAAGGGTTAAGTAGAGCCACAATCTGGTAACTGTAAAGATGATTTGTAGAATGATCTGTCTTGAATTTTACGATCTTCTCAAAAGTTCATGTTAAAACTGAAATCCCCGTTTATGTACCATTTGCTGTCCAGTATACTTTTCCATTTATCAATGCAGCACTATGCGGAGTCTTAAATTACATGTATATGATCACAGAACAGTACGTAATGAGGTCTGGGGTTGTTACTGATATTATGTTAATCAGGTTTAGGTTTGTATGCCCATAGAGCAGCTTTGCACTTGTTCAACTCACTCTCCTCTTTTATTCCCATAGAGGTTTTCTATTCGGTTTTCTATAAATTGCAAATAACTTGCAGCAGTGCATTCTTTGCAGAGATACTAGCACCATCAAGCTCTACTGCTGGCTTGATGGTTTGGTTGCTTCTGGAGCAGGGATAATACAAAACACCAAACCTAGTTACTAAAGGAGCCATGTCTTTTGTCATGTGG